CACAGGAAGGTTCTCGTATTTCTTTTCGGGCAAAAGTTAAAATTTTTCTAACAGTCATTCTTAAAGATAATAAATGATTGAAACATACTTATGTATTTTTTTGCATATACATTTAGAAATTTTAACAATTCTAGAATAACTTACTTTTTATATTAATACTTCTCTTACAGAATCCAAACTCGTTGATATGTGAAAGGCTGTTGAGAAGTCAAGCCTCCCTTCCACTAGAGGTCAGCACTCATGTTTAAAGATATACAACCTTTTAAGCATATAAGAGAACTGTCAATTCCAGATTTCATGGTTAATCACCTCTACCAACATATAAAGAATGAGCATTCACTACAAGGTTCTTTCAAAGTGAACTTAAAACACTCTTTCCTCCTAACAGTCATTCAGTGCAATAGAGGAAGGTAAAATTGCCACCGAGTAAACTACAGATGCTTGCTTTTATGTGATTTTTTTTTTTTAGAGCAGCACATTGGCATTAACATACAACACAACAAAGAATATTTTTTGCACTTAAAAGATATTTCTTGAAGTTTATTTTCAAAAAAAATGTCCCCCCTTTTGGTATTTGTACAAATAAATGTCTCGCAAACAACCACCTGGGAAACACATGTTGATTTTGAAGGAACAAAAACAGTAAGATGGTGGTTCTTTTTTTCTCCATTTCTTTTCGGGCAAAAGTTAAAATTTTTCTAACAGTCATTCTTAAAGATAATAAATGATTGAAACATACTTATGTATTTTTTTGCATATACATTTAGAAATTTTAACAATTCTAGAATAACTTACTTTTTATATTAATACTTCTCTTACAGAATCCAAACTCGTTGATATGTGAAAGGCTGTTGAGAAGTCAAGCCTCCCTTCCACTAGAGGTCAGCACTGATGTTTAAAGATATACAACCTTTTAAGCATATAAGAGAACTGTCAATTCCAGATTTCATGGTTAATCACCTCTACCACCATATAAAGAATGAGCATTCACTACAAGGTTCTTTCAAAGTGAACTTAAAACACTCTTTCCTCCTAACAGTCATTCAGTGCAATAGAGGAAGGTAAAATTGCCACCGAGTAAACTACAGATGCTTGCTTTTATGTGACAAAGTTTTAGGCGTACATGGTGGTAAACACACGAGTGGAAAAACCATACAAACTTACAATAGTCTTTTGTGCACTGTTTGATTCAAGGCATAGTATTGCAAGTACAAATGTTGCGGGATCATGGAAGCAGGACCCTAGAAAGTTTGATCGTCATTGCAGGACTCAGTCCAGTGGCCGAAGGCCTCACAGATGTCACAGTAAGGTCTTTCATCATTGGGACTGCCATGATAGGTGGTGTGTGGCGGGGAATCTAGCATCTGGTCCTGTGTGGGACAGTCCTCTGTGTCGTGTAGGTCAAAGCAGTCACATATGTCACAGAAGAGACGGGGAGGGGGTTTCTTTTTAATCGTCGGCTCGGTGTGACTAGGTAGAGAAGACAAGGGTGTGAGATACTGTGTAACAGTATATTAACAGCTTTTTTGATTCAACATTTTTGTTCAGTTTTTACACATTTTGCATTTCATAATAAAATGATGGATGAAGCATGGATAACCCAAGCTGAAATAATCGATTTAATTCTAAACAATACATAGGAATTAAGTAAAAGAAAAAGGTAACACTCCTTAAATTTTGAAATACTTTTCTATGTATTTATGTACACAGAATTACTTTTTTGTTTGAAGAATTGAAAACCATCACTAAGTCTACAAAATCTCTATATACCCAAAATCAACTAATATAAAATCAGTAAAGCTACCAATTAAGTGAAAAATTAGTTTGAGGATTAAAAAAAAATAGCGAATTCAGCTCATTCTTGGGATTGTATGATGAGATTTAAAAACAAAACACCTGTTATGACTGTCCATTTCAGTTGCACCATTTCCATTGAGCGCTGCTTCAGCCATCTTCTCTAGTTTCGATTTTAGGTCTTCGTTCTTCCGCTGAAGTTCCACAATAACGGAGTTCAGGAATTCAACCTTTCCAAAAAAAAAAAAAGTTAATCAGCAAATGTTTCAAATGTGCAATTCATAAATTTATAAAATCACAAACCTGCAGAAAGCTTGTCCAATTGTTCTAAGATTACATTATGGCATCTATTCTTATGGCATTGCTTATATATACATATATGATTGATTTATAGTTTATAATTTAGCTCTATATTCATGGTGAGAAACAAATGAAAACTAGACTGTAAATACACTATATAAAACAACAAATTCAATCTGTATTCCACATTTGTGATGGTTAAATACAAATTCAGACGAGACAAGGGCTCCAGATTAGAGATGAAACGATTATAGTGACCGAAATGATCATGGTTATCAATATTATTGTTAAAATGTGCTGGAAATGTTCAAAAACTCTGCTCATACACACAATGAAATCATTTTAAGTTTTCATGTCAAACATGAAAACATTGTCAAAAATAGTGCTGTCAAACAATTAATCGTGATTAATGGGATCAAAATAAAAGTTTTTGTTTACATAATATGTGTGTGTACTGTGTATATTTATTATGTATATGTAAAGACACACACATACAGCATATATTTATATTCATATATATTATATTATATTAATATATTTAATACATAAACGTAACATTTTTATTAAATATATACATGCATGTGTGTGTGTGTATTTATATATACATAATAAATATACACAGTACACACACATATTATGTAAACAAAAACTTTTATTTTGGATGCAATTAATCGCTTGACAGCACTAGTCAAAAATAAATAAATATAATAAAAATTAGCAGCACTGCGTTTTTTTTTGCATAAACATTAAAATAATATCATTAAAAATGATGGCAGATTTTAAACCAACAAAATATTGGTTGGGTGACTTGCAATGTAATTTATCTACTAACATGTACTACATGTTCAAATAAAATTAAGATAAAGTTAGAAATGATGAATCTCCCAATTCAGCCTTTACATAATGATAAATTATAGACATTTTATCTGTTCCATAAACAATTCTACATAGGCTACCTTTTATCTGCAGTGTAAAATTTTTTTTTAGAATGTACATTAGCTTGTTTTCCATCTACCAGTTAAGATTTATGATAAAAATGTGGTACAACAAAAATGGCAGACAGGCTGAATGAAAATGTAACTCCACTGTCTGACAGCAAGTGGCACTTATGGAACAGAAGAAACGGAGCAATTTCCTCGGTAACCTTTGTAAACAAAGCAGAGCTGTTTAGCAGCTGAGAAGAAAAGCAAATGCTATTGTCAGTTCCTCCACATGCATTTATAGAATTCATTCATCCATACATTCTTTCCTAGAATTTCTCTATCAGCACTCTGTTTTAATGATAATTAAAATATGAAGTGGTAATTCTAACCGTTGTTACTATTTAATCATGGTTATGGTTATCCAGATACAGTATTGGGGTGAATGACGGAAGGCTTTCTCTGTTTAAAATTTGCTGGTGGTGATCAATAACGACTTTGGCTAGTTGTTAAAATTATGTTTCAGTTTGTAGGAATTCTTTTACACAAAAATATCTGCAAATGTGTTAAAAAGCCAGTTTTAACTAAGCATGGACAACAAAAGTAAAGTGATTCATGAGAAGATTCTAACAAAAATATCCTATATAGTATAATGAGAATATTGATTGAATTTAGTTGTGCAACTTTTAATTAGGCAGACAATTTAGACCAAAAAATGTCCTCAGTGTGTCAAATGCCTAGAAAGAAAATGCCTAGAAAAAACTATTACTAATTTCTAGGGTAATTTAAGCAAACTTTTTTAAAGCAGGTTTTAGACTAATACTGTACTTGGTTGTATCTGATGTTGTAGGACAGTGGGCCAAGAGAACAGTATGCCATTATAATGATGAACAAAAATATACATTATAAAGAGAAAACTTTCCACTCTGCATACCTGCCGCTCAGCATTCTCCTTGGCCTCCTTCCACATTCTTAAAGCAGAATCATCTGGTTGGAACGTAAAACATGCAAACCGGTCATGTAGATTAAACATAAATACAACACACTTATAAGAAGTTAGATTTAGGTCAGTTTAAGGTAACAGTTACAGTATATAGGTAATTCTAAGTAAAGTTTGATCCCAAAATGCAATAGCAGAACTACAGTCTGCCTGGAAGAATTTAAAAGCAATACAATGAAAACAATAAATCCCTCTATGTTATTTTATATTTTTGTAATTACTTTCTTTTTTTTCAAATGTGCATTTCAACCTGTTTTATTTACTTTTAACTGATGGAATAGACACGTGATAAAGTTGTGTGTTGAGTTGTACCTGAGGCATCATCTCCTTTGCTGGTGATCTGAGCGTCAGCTAAACTCGTCTCCAGATTCTTCACTCGCTCCTGCAGCAAAGTATTCTCACTCTTGTGAGATTTCAGATTGGACTGCAGCACCTGTGTCGTATCACGCAGACCTGCTATCTGCTTGCACAAACCGCAAAAGAAAAACAAATCAAGCAAAACTGAAATTTGCACATACACACCATAATTCAAACAGATGCTACCTCGTTTCTCAGAGAGTCTAATTCTTTGTCCTTCTCTGAGATCAAGGCACTCTGTGTTTGGAGAGATTGCTGTAGTGCTTCCTTCTCTTTTTCTGTTTCTTTTGTTAAAGTGCTTTCCCTGTGCAGAAGACAGATTGCATGATGTGTGCATTCTCCATTCATTAATGCAGGAATGTACAGTCAAGAGTGTCTATATTAAAACAAAGCAAAACTTCTACACATGATGCAGTCAAAATTGTATTACATTTCCTGTAGTTGCTCACCTCATTTTTATCTTCTTCAATTGACTATTGAGGCTGTCACACTTCTTTTTGAACTGCATTAAGGAGGAACAGAATTTAATATTTATGCAAAAAGTACAAAATTATTATTTTGCATTAATATTTTCAGATTTAAAAAAAATGTAGCAACTTAGTAAAAGAGCCTATAATTTAGAAACCATAGCTCACATATTCTAATAGTATAAAACTACATTTATGAAAAAAAAAAATTTTTCCTGAAACAATTACCGTGTGGTGTTCATATAAAGTTATAAAGTATGGTCCACTTTTCAGATATTTCTGCCCTAGTAACCCTGACTTAGACATGTAAATTAAGCTGTAAAACAGTTTTATTCATTTTATTTTAAATGTGCAATTTAAGGACCACAATAATAAAGACTAAAGGTCCTTGCACACTGAGTCAGAAATTTTCATATGCAATTTTGTCATATTGGTCATCCTAAAAATTCATCAGAAACAGAAACCTTGCACACTGAGTCTGATGCGTATTAATTATTCTGTTGTGAAAAAATGTGACTAAATGGAGTCTTCAAGCAGTGAGTATGATTTTGTTGTCCTCTCGCTTCTTAAAAAGAGAAAAAGAAATTGAGTCCATCCAATCCTGAGATACAGAGAGGAAGGAAACTTCCCTCTCCTTATTAAGGAGCAGCGGGATTATCATGGGCGATTCAAAGTTTACTTCAAGATGTCAGTGGCTCAGTTTGATGCTTTGCTAGCGATACTAGAGCCACATATTAAAAAGACCACCACCAATTTCTGTGAACTCGGTGTGCAAGGATCTTTACAGTGCTTTGTGCTGCGAGACGAAGTGGATGAACTTGACAATCGCCATTCTGGATTTTGCCGTTCACTTGTAAGGTGGCTCTGAATTGTCAAAACATCTCTCAAAATGCTTGATACGGATGCGAAAAATGCAGAAAATCGAACCTGATCCGAATTTTTTTTATGACGGACGAAAATTTCGGATTCCGTGTGCAATGGCCTTAACAAGGGAAAAACTCCACAGTTCCAGTCTCTGAACAGAAACTGACAAATTACAAAACTGTTTGTCCAAAAGTAATAGTAGCTTAATATCATACACCAGTGAAAGTCATATATTTTAAGAAATATTGCAGCTTGGAAAATTGCATTACAAATATGGTGTGTAAATTTATTACAATAAATATTATATTTAAAATATATGCACAAGCAGCAATTATTGGGGTCCAAGCACCAGAAGCTCATGTAAACACATTTTCTCAAATATTATGTACTGTTAAGTATGTTTGTACTTGAGTCAACTTAAATCTAGAATCTCCACTAATTTTGTAAGTTAGGGTTTGACGAAACAGCTTAGAAAATTACAAGAGACATGCTTATGGACAACATTAGTATTACAGTCCATCAACCATCATTTACACATAAATACAGATAAATTGCTGATCATTCAGAATTTGCTTTTAGCCCCCATGAAAATCAGAAATTTGTGAAATTTGGTGGGTTTTTTCCAGACTATTATATTGGCCATGTGTACCAAGTTTTGTAAAGTTAGGACATTGCATTAACAAGATGTAGGCCAATTCGTTATAATGGGCCTCACGCACAAATATAATGGCCTAAATCTCTACTTTATGGATCGAACAGTTGCAAAATTACAGGGTTTAGGTTGCAAACTGTAGTGTTCTCAGAATGTCCTGATGTCTGTGTATAATGTTTTGTAAAGCTTGGATATAGTGCTCTGCAAATATAGGTAAATTGGTAAAAATGGCTATCACCTAAAAAATGTATTACCTCATATCTTCACAACGCTCTAACATATCAAAATTATTTTGATAACTTTCCTTAACCCTCAGGTCATGGTTGTCATAAAACACACCAAGTTTGGTCTAAATAAGATACATTTAAAAGATATAGCCTCAAGTCCATTTTACTGTGCTCTTCATCAATTTTGAATTAATTTATTTTGGATGTTAATATGTTCTCAAACTGAGATAACTGAGATAACCACTATGTAATGCGTGACAATTCTACAGAAGTATTACATAAACAAACAGCCACACTACCTCATTTCTCAGAGAGTCTAATTCTTTGTCCTTTTCTGAGATCAAGGCACTCTGTGTTTGGAGAGACTGCTGAAGTGCTGCTTTCTCCTTTTCTGATTCACTTGTTAAAGTGCTTTCCCTGTGCAGAAGACAGATTGTAGGATATAGTTGAAACAATGAAACAAATTCCTTGATACATGACTCCATAAATAAATTCTCTGTTGTTCCTTACCTCATTTTCATCTCCTTCAATTGTCCATTAAGGTTGTCGCACTCCTTTTTGAGCTGCATTGAGGGTGAAACAAATTTACCTCTCAGATTTAACACATCATCGCAACATTGGATTTAAAACATAAAATATTTACATAAAACTAGAGATGCACCGATTGCAATTTTCTTGGCTGATTCCGATTTTTTTGTTAGTGTGATCTGCCGATACCGATTTTTGCCAATTCCGATTTTCTTTCTAAGAACTATAATTGATAGCATATACAAACAAAAATCTACTTTTCTTCAACGTACATCCAGTGTTATTTTACATTTGATTACATTAATTTCTGTAGTCTTCATTGTAAAAATTAAATACAGATTAATGCTTACCATTAAAGTTATAAAACGTATTCAGTCAAGAGCAGAAAATAATTTTCTTTGTCTTTTGTTCTTTGATTAACATGACAGACAGCAGCAGGAATATTGGACTGCGGTCCCTTTAAGAGTTTATCCACGGACCCAATATACTGTTACATAACATGCGTTCTCTTTCTCAACTATTTAACGATCTAAAACTGACTGTGTTTAACTGGATATTCGCCAAAACGGGCATTTTGACAATTTTGTATGTATTTGATCGTTTTAGCGCAGTTAAAACAGGTCACTTATTTTGGTATTTGTGGCTCACAAGCTGTTTGATACTGAGTGCTGATTGTGCGCTCCACTAATATAGATCAGTGGTGGTGTGTGCGCTTGGTATAAGCGCGAAACCTGCGGGAATGACTAAAATAAATGCTCAATACAAGCACTATTTAACCGGAGCGAATGAGAGGTGTGTGAGAGAGAAGGGGTCGTCGGAGAGAAGAGAGCGAGAATGCTCGTCTGACGTTTGCTCGTCTTGCCTGTGCCACTGGTAACAAAACGGATCGGCTCGAAATCGGAAAGAAGTGAGACTGACCGGCCGGTCACCAATCCTGGCCGATCATGAGGAAAATCGTTCGATACCGATCCCTGGTCGATCGATCGGTGCATCTCTACACATTGCACAACATTGATTCATTTTTTTTATTTTTTAGCATTCAAAACTGCTTTAAAATCAAACAAAAATGAATTGAACAAAAATCTGGACAATCGGTTAACATACATTTAGCAGAATGTTACTGTCTTTGTGGCTGCTGGCAAGTTCCACGGTTAACTTTTCCTTCTCATTTTTCAGAGCCTCCACTGCCTGGGCTTTTTCAGCAGCAGCTTGTTTCAGCTCCTCACTGAAACTCAATACAAGCACTATTTAACCGGAGCGAATGAGAGGTGTGTGAGAGAGAAGGGGTCGTCGGAGAGAAGAGAGCGAGAATGCTCGTCTGACGTTTGCTCGTCTTGCCTGTGCCACTGGTAACAAAACGGATCGGCTCGAAATCGGAAAGAAGTGAGACTGACCGGCCGGGCACCAATCCTGGCCGATCATGAGGAAAATCGTTCGATACCGATCCCTGGTCGATCGATCGGTGCATCTCTACACATTGCACAACATTGATTCATTTTTTTATTTTTTAGCATTCAAAACTGCTTTAAAATCAAACAAAAATGAATTGAACAAAGATCTGGACAATCGGTTAACATACATTTAGCAGAATGTTACTGTCTTTGTGGCTGCTGGCAAGTTCCACGGTTAACTTTTCCTTCTCATTTTTCAGAGCCTCCACTGCCTGGGCTTTTTCAGCAGTAGCTTGTTTCAGCTCCTCACTGAAACACACAACCAGTGTTTATTCAAACAACACAGAGACAGATAAAAAGTGAATTTACAAAGGATTCCTATTCCACTTGTTCTAAAAACAATTATAAAAGAGAAGCAGCTCTCAACAATTATCTAATCTATTAATTAGGCTATATATGCAAAGAGTGTTACGCTACACGTTTGATGACAGCAATTTACTGTAGACCATGTGGTTGTCACACAGGCATTATATAGTACCAAAATGGGGTGTACATATATACACACACACACACTTCAAAGTAAACATTCAAAAGGATAGTTCACCCAAAAATTTTTCTTGTTCTAAAAACAATTATAAAAGAGAAGCAGCTCTCAACAATTATCTAATCTATTAATTAGGCTATATATGCAAAGAGTGTTACGCTACACGTTTGATGACAGCAATTTACTGTAGACCATGTGGTTGTCACACAGGCATTATATAGTACCAAAATGGGGTGTACATATATACACACACACACACACACTTCAAAGTAAACATTCAAAAGGATAGTTCACCCAAAAATTTAAATTCTGTCGTCTTCTTTTGAACACTAGAGAAGATATTTTGAAGAATGTGGGTAACCAAACAGTTGCTGGTAGCCACTGACTTTCAAAGTATAGAAAAAAATACAATGGAAGTTAATGGGGACCAGAAACTGTTTGGTTACCCAACATTCTTCAAAATAACTTGTTTGTTTGTTTGTGTGTGTGCGCGTTTTTGTGACAAATGAGGACATAAATTTGTATATTGACAAAGGTATGACATAGGTATTACAAGGAGATGGTGACTTTTCAGGACATTACCCCATGTCCCCACTTTTCAAAACGCTTATAAATCACACAGAATGGAGTGTATTGAAAATCTGAAATAGCACAAAGTTTCATGTAAGGGGTAGGTTTAGGGGTAGGGTTGGTGTAGGGCAATAGAATATACGGTCTGTACAGTATAAAAACCATTACGCCTATGGGATGTCCCCACTTTTCACAAAAACAAACCTGTGTGTGTGTGTGTGTGTGTGAGAGAGGAGAGGAGAGGAGAGGAGAGAAAGAGAGAGAGAGAGAGAGAGAGAGAGAGAGAGAGAGAGAGATCAAGGACATGAGGGTGAATAAATTATAACAACATTTTCATTTCAGGGTGAACTATACCTTTTCCTATAAGAAGGAAACTATAAGTTTTCCTTCCCTAGTATTATACATGGTTGAATTACAAACAAAGAAAAATAAATATCAGTAGCAGATTGAGACATGAGTTAAAGCTTATCATGAATATAAAACAGTTAACTTAATACAAAAGAGAAATTACTTAAATTTCACAACAACACAAAGAACAGCAATGTGGGAGAATGGTTGAAGACACTCACATCTCTTTACTGAGGCTGCTGATATTCTGACTGTCAGAACTCAGATTCTCTTGATACTGCAAGTTCTGCTGCTTCAAAGCATCCAGCTTCAACAAGTACAGAGAAAACAGTTTAGAAACATCCTCTGATCATCTATAAATATACACATTATAGGACAAGGACAACCTGAAGCAGGCACTAATAAATATGTAAAATTCTGCACACATCTGACAAGAGATTTGCATAGCATTCTGCTATCTCATGTTTTCAGATAACACAGAAATAGACTCTTCCTCCAGTTTGCAAAAAAGAATAGAAACTGCAGATGCAGGGTTAAGACATTCTGCAGGTTTAAAAGCAGAAATGTGAAGGTTCGTACTTTTGTTCAAGCATTTACATGAATTATTCAGTAATACTAATACTGCATTATTACTAATTCATGTTATTTGATCTGTAAACTTAGTTAAAGCTTATCATGAATATAAAACAGTTAACTTAATACAAAAGAGAAATTACTTAAATTTCACAACACAAAGAACAGCAATGTGGGAGAATGGTTGAAGACACTCACATCTCTTTACTGAGGCTGCTGATATTCTGACTGTCAGAACTCAGATTCTCTTGATACTGCAAGTTCTGCTGCTTCAAAGCATCCAGCTTCAACAAGTACAGAGAAAACAGTTTAGAAACATCCTCTGATCATCTAAAAATATACACATTATAGGACAAGGACAACCTGAAGCGGGCACTAATAAATATGTAAAATTCTGCACACATCTGACAAGAGATTTGCATAGCATTCTGCTATCTCATGTTTTCAGATAACACAGAAATAGACTCTTCCTCCAGTTTGCAAAAAAGAATAGAAACTGCAGATGCAGGGTTAAGACATTCTGCAGGTTTAAAAGCAGAAATGTGAAGGTTCGTGCTTTTGTTCAAGCATTTACATGAATTATTCAGTAATACTAATACTGCATTATTACTAATTCATGTTATTTGATCTGTAAACTCGTCTAAAAATCATCCTTGACTTTGTAGGTGGATAAAATTCTGGTTATGCATTACTGACAATTTTGGTGGGTGAAATTTTACCCATGTAGCTAGTATCCTAGTGATTGAAAGACTGAATATAACTGTACATTTAAAGGTGCATTAGGAGATCTTGAAAAATGCTAACTTTAGCCTGATAGCACTGAAAGCGAACGTCCCACCCTCCCTGCAAATTGCCATCCAAAGCCACGCCCCCTGAACGCATGAACGCACACACAGACCAGACGATCAGAGACAACATTACAACAATACATCATGTATCATTAATCGGTGAGAAAACTTCATTGTACAGTCATGGCCAAAAGTTTTGGCAGTGACATAAATTCTGTTTTACAAAGTTTGCGGCTTCAGTATTTGTAGATTATTTTTCCACGTTTCTATGGTATACTGAAAAACAATGATAAGCATATCATAAGTTTTAAAGGCTTTTACTGGCAAAAAAATATAATGAGTCAATATTTACAGTGTTGACCCTTGTTCTTCATAACATCTGCAATTCGCTCTGGCATGCTGGATATTAGCTTTTGGGCCAAATTCTGACTGATGGCGATCCATTTTTGCCTTAGTTCTCGGAGTTGATCATAATTTGTGGGCTTCTGCTGGTCCACTTGCCTTTTGAGGACTGACCACAAGTACTCTATGGGATTGAGATCCTCAGAGTTGCCTCATATCCAAAATTTCCATATAATGATCTTCGAGCCACTTCTTTATCACTCTTGCTTTGTGACATGGTGCTCATCATGCTGGAAAATGCACGGATCATCACCAAATTGCTCATGAATTGTTGGAAGAAGTCGCACTTGCAGGACGTTTTGATACCATTCTCTATTCATGGCAGTGTTTTTGGGCAGAATTATGAGAGAGCCCACTCCCTTGGTTGAAAAGCAACTCCACACATGGATGGTCTCAGGATGCTTCACTGCACAACACCGGACTCATGGTAGCGTTCACCTTTTCTTCTCCGAACAATCGATTTTCCAGATGTCCCAAATAGTTGGAAGGGAACTTCATCAGAGAAAATAACTTTGCAGAATTTCAGTCTGTCCTTGATGTTTTTCTTGGAGAGAAGTGGCTTCTTTGCTGCTTCTTGACACCAGGCCGTTGTCCAAAAGTCTGGGCCTCACTGTGTGTGCAGATGCTCTCACACCAACCTGCTGCCATTCCTGAGCAAGCTCTGCACTGCTGGTGACACGATTCCGTAGCTGATTCCTCAGGAGGAGATGGTCCTGGCGCTTGCTGCACAATCTGGGACGTCCTGAAGACTTCTTCACTGCAGTCGAACCTCTCTCCTTGAAGTTCTTGATGATCCGGTAAATGGTTCTTTCAGGTGCAATATTTTTTGTAGCAATTTCCTCGCATGTGAGGCCATTTTGATGCAAAGCGATGATGTCTGCACACCTTTCCTTGGAGGAAACCATTGTCAACAAGAACACAATGATCGGAAGCACCTTCTTCCCTCCTTTTATAGCTATCAGTCTGCTCTTACAATCTAACTAGTATGATAGTGATATTACCTGACTAGTACTGATTCACACTTTCACATGTGCTGCTGATATGATTAGTCAATTAATGCTAGCTGGTCATTTTAGCAATTATTTAAAATGCATTTGATCACTCTGCACAATCTAGAAACAATGTGATTGAACACCACAGCAGCTTAAGCAACAAACTTGCAAAACACAAAATTTATGTCACTGCCAAAACCTTTGGCAATGACTGTACAGTTAGTAAAAGTACTACAATACCAGGAAGTAAGATCAGGTTGTTGATGTTTGTCTGCCATTCTCGCCCTGTCTGTACAGCGTGCGTGAATGCGCTGATGATGTATCCTGTCTGCGCGAACCGGGTGCGCAGAGGTATGTAAATACATATGTTGACAGGCAGGTAGGAAAGCCAATTAAAACGCTCGGAACATGCGTTTTGATTTGACAAACATTTTTTGGTCCTACGCCTTCCACAGAATATATAAATACAGATCAATACATTTAGACCACTTAAATTAATGATTGCTATCGTGATGTGAAGAGACTTTCAACCAGCATAACAAAAAAAAATTCTGAAGACAATCACCTATTGCACCTTTAAGATTAGTAAGCACTTATGTCACACTAGTCGCATGCAAACATGTATATTGGTTAAGTTTTGTGGCTATACTTTCAAAACAATCTGCATTTTCGAGTCACCATGTAATCAAAATGGACAATTCTTTTTTTTTATTCTAAATGATTATAAAGTTAAAGGTGATTTATCCATTTCCATTTTTGTTTCATTAATGTGCTCTCACAATCTTTAATTTAAAAACATTAATGATAATAATCCGTGCCCTTCAGCAACCCATCACTCACGTGAGATCGCAGTGATTGCAAACACTGCGTTATAATCAATTCACAATGGACAAAACCATATACATCAAAATAGGGAAGAAAAGACTGCCACTTCTGTTCAATGCCTACTTTTATTGCTTTACACATACAGTTAATGAAATTTTGGATGCGTCAAAAAAATTTTTTTTTAATTTCTGATAATTTTTAGCAGTTGAAGATGTTACCTCATTTCTTAGAGAGTCTAATTCCTTGTCCTTTTCTGAGATCAAGGCACTCTGTGTTTGAAGAGACTGCTGAAGTGCTGATTTCTCCTTTTCTGATTCACTTTTGAAAGTGCTTTCCCTGCACAGAAGAGAGATTGTATGATATGTGCATTCTGCATGCAAGGAACAAATTTAACTTTAGTCATCATTTACTCGCCCCTCAAGCTGTCCACTTTAGTGGAATGTTCACACTGCTGCTTTCTATGATGTAAAAAGCATGCAACTCCAAAAAGCGTCATACGTTTTCAGATTTCAAATCACATATTCCTGCAGCAGCTGAGTGACTGGAGATTAATAGAAATGACATTGCATGACTTCTGAAGACTTATATATAGTTCACTAATTTTATGATGCTTTTTACATTTTCTTTCAGAGAGATTTCCTGGTCACTTTATGCTCTCATTGCATGGAAAAGAGCAACTTGAACATTCTCCTAAACATCTATTTTTTGGTTCCACAGAAGAAAAAGAAAAAAAAAAAAAAAAAAAAGAGTTTGTCACGAGGATGAGTAGATGATGACAATTTTCAACTATTCCTTATCATTCGAGGTTGTAGTAGGCTAATGACGGACTAGAACTAAAAATCAGGCCCAGACCTAAAACAGTCTATAAAAACAGCCTATATGTCTATAAAAAGCATGAATAAAATGCTATAGGACAGATCAGTTGAAACACTAAACACCGTCACTGTCTGTACTACTGCCATCTTGATATTGTAACAAATTCTCCTCTGTACATATTTTTCTTTTTGAAAAGTCCATTACCTCATTTTCATCTCCTTCAATTGGTCGTTGAGACTGTCACACTCCTTTTTGAGCTGCATTAAGATAACAGTAAAGAGAATTCAGGATATTTACTTCTCACAAAATAGCACATAAATGAGAACAAGATAATATTCAAAAAACAAAACAGAAATTAGTTTAAGCATCTGGATTTTGAGTCTTTTCTGGTACAAAAAAAAAAAAAAAAAAAAAAAAGAGTTTGTCACGAGGATGAGTAGATGATGACAATTTTCAACTATTCCTTATCATTCGAGGTTGTAGTAGGCTAATGACGGACTAGAACTAAAAATCAGGCCCAGACCTAAAACAGTCTATAAAAACAGCCTATATGTCTATAAAAAGCATGAATAAAATGCTATAGGACAGATCAGTTGAAACACTAAACACCTTCACTGTCTGTACTACTGCCATCTTGATATTGTAACAAATTCTCCTCTGTACATATTTTTCTTTTTGTAAAAGTCCATTACCTCATTTTCATCTCCTTCAATTGGTCGTTGAGACTGTCACACTCCTTTTTGAGCTGCATTAAGATAACAGTAAAGAGAATTCAGGATATTTACTTCTCACAAAATAGCACATAAATGAGAACAAGATAATATTCAAAAAACAAAACAGAAATTAGTTTAAGCATCTGGATTTTGAGTCTTTTCTGGTACAAAATAAAACCGTAAAATATTACACACATTTTGCTTAACATACATTTAGAAGAATGTTACTGTCTTTGTGGCTGCTGGCAAGTTCCAGTGTTAGCTTTTCCTTCACATTTTTCAGAGCCTCAACTGCCTGGGCTTTTTCAGTGTCTGCTTGTTTCAACTCCTCACTGTAATACACAAAATTATTATGTTTATTAGGCCTCTTTTGAACTGCTGGAGAACCACTGTTTTACGCTGTTTCCCCCCCAAAAAAAACACTACAACGATGTCACATTTGCCACGATAACCAAAGAATGTGGGGAAAAGACATTTATATAGCTACTTCAAGGATTAAAAAAAAAAACAACAGATGTTATATTAACGGTGTCAATTATTTGTAACATGTTAACTGGCAAATATTAAATCACAGAAATGAACAATTTAATAACCCTAATAATAATAATCTGAATGAATATCATACAGAAATGACTTAATCTACACAATTCCAAAGAATACAGAATTCAAGTGTAGACACTCACATCTCTTTACTGAGGCTGCTGATCTTCTGACTGTCAGAACTCAGATCCTCTTGATACTGCGAGTTCTGCTGCTTAAAAGCATCCAGCTTCAACAAGTACAGAGAAAACAATGAGCAGCTTGAAGCAGACACTACTAAATATAAATTATTCTACAGATATCGGAGGAGAAATAGCCTATATGCAGGATTTTTTTTAAAATAGCTCATATTGTCATTTACACAAATTATTCAAGTTATCTGAACTGCACATTTGTATAAATTGTGCTTTTACCAGCAGGCCAACTTTCCCAGGTAGATGAATGTCTGGTTAGACCTTACTGATGTAACTCCTGTAAGTTTTTACAGTTTTTCCTCTCTGTAAACAGTACTTCAAGAATAGGTACAGCACATTTCTTTAGTTGTGGTGCTAAACACTTGTCTGCTAAGCTTCCATTTTGTGGCAAATACATTACTAATGTACAGTCAATGTACTTATAGTAGTAGGGAGGAGGAGGAGGAGGAGGAGGAGGAGAAGAAGAAGGAGAAGGAGAAGGAGAAGAAGGAGAAGAAGAAGAAGAATTAAATTTTTTAATATGATGCGATTTCAATTTTTCCTTTCTCTTTGGAGTGTTACAAGCTCTTGGTGAAGATCTGTAAAGTTGCAAAGACTAAAGTCTCAAATCCAAAGAGATATTCTTTATAAAAGTTAAGAGTCAGCCATGCCTACCTAAAACGCCTCATTCCTGATCCTGGTAGAGTAGACTACAATGCCTGCTTGTTCTGACTCAAAGACTGTAAGTAAGTTTTTTATATTTAAAGAGTTTTTATATTTTATATTTTTTATATTTAAAGCGAATTATTTGGGCAGTGTAGAGTAGGGCTTGTTGTTTGTCATTTCTCTGATCACAAATGCAGACATGGTTTTATGTTTATGCGGCGCGATGCAATGCAACGCATGGAAAGACAGTATAAGTCATTATAACCCATAATTATGTCCCCACTGGATGCAACGAATGCCTCGTTTATAATGGGTTTTCATTTTTTTGAATAATCGCTCCGGCCAGATAGGGCATCATCACAGTATGGTAGGGGCGTAATATTTCCGTCACACGCTTGAGGTATTCGGCCAATCACAACGCACTGGATAGCTGGCCAATCACAGCACACCTTGCTTTTCAGACCGATGAGCTTTGTAAAAATCGACGCGTTTCAGAAAGGCGGGGCATAGAGGAGAAACAATAATGTACAGTATGTGGAAAATAATGTGTTTTTTTAACCTTAAACCGCATAAACACATTTCAATACACCAAATACACCAAATAATGTTCTTTTTAGCAACATTATATGACCCCTTTAAGGGAAAAACAATTTATCTTAATTTTAATTTTTCTTTTCGTTTTAAAGGGGTCATATGATGTTGCTAAAAAGAACATTATTTGGTGTATTTGGTGTATTGAAATGTGTTTATGCGGTTTAAGGTTAAAAAAACACATTATTTTCCACATACTGTACATTATTGTTTCTCCTCTATGCCCCGCCTTTCTGAAACGCGTCGATTTTTACAAAGCTCATCGGTCTGAAAATCGAGGTGTGCTCTGATTGGCCAGCTATCCAGTGCGTTGTGATTGGCCGAATACCTCATGCGTGTGACAATGTTATGCCCCTCACCATATTGTGATGCCGTGTCCCGGCCGGAGCGACGAGACAAAAACATTAAAAGCCATTAAAAACAAGGCATTTGTTGCATCCAGTGGGGACATAATTACAGATTATAATCACTTACTGTCTTTTTACCCGTTGCATTGCATTGCGCCGCGTAAACATAAAACCATGTCTGCATTTCTGATCGGAGAAATGACAAACTACAAACGCTACTCTACACACAGCTCAAAACACGCGTTTGAATCGTAAGTCACAAATTCTTTAAATATAAAAACGTACTTACAGTCTGTGAGTCAGAACAGCCGGCATTGTAGTCTACTCTACCAGTATCAGGAAACAGTCCTCCATAAAATGCGCTGGACACATCTGAATATTTGGGATGGGATTTGGGATAGGAATAACTGTTCTGGAACAGTGTTGTAAATACAACTTAACCACTGATTTCTAGTCGTGTCCTCTTTTGGAAGGTCAAACAAAGTAGTTTCGATTTCACAACGAAACACACAGCGCCTTCACAACATGGCGGTGGCGGCAACAACAATACTACAGCGAGAATAAAAGTTACGCCTTCTTTCTTTGCGTGAACATTTGCGCGGTGTTATGCAAATCTTCCCACATCGTTACGCAGACATGTGGAGGCGTGTTAGAACCAGAGCATGCGAGAAATCATTATTGCTTAAACTTAATAAATAATAATAAATTAAAAAATTAATAAAACCTGCTGACGTTGTAGAAACGAATTGTTCGTTAGAACGAGGCATTTTAGGTAGGTGTGGTTGACTCTTAACTTTTATAAAGAATATCTATTTGAAACTTTAGTCTTTGCAACTTTACAGATCTTCTTTATGCACCAAGAGCTTGTAACACTCCAAAGAGAAAGGAAAAATTTAAATCGCATCATATGACCCCTTTAATTTTAATAGTAAACCTCTGTTACTCTGTTAAATGAAAGGAACTGTTACATTTTCATTTGTTCACATTTTAAAAGATTAATTACATTGTTAATGTTTTATGCCTTAATGTGTTCACCACTATTTCTGATAAAAGTTTTATAAAATCATACATTCAGAAAAGTTAAAACAGACAACTCAAGGTCCTACTGCAGTAAAAATAAATAAAATAAAGTAAAAATGAATGAATGAATTAAATTGTTTTATAAATTAAATTGATTGGATATGCTTTTTGATTATTAACATTTAATTAAACCATTAACAAAGAATTCACAAACATTGAAATGGAAAAAAAATCATAGGGCTCTAAAAATTTTATTTTTATTAAACTTTTAATAAATTTAATTTCAAGATTTCAATTAGACCAAGATTTCAATTATTTGATTACCAAAATGTAATTTAACCATTAAAACATGATTAATGATTAAAACATGATTAAACAAAATTAAAAACAAAGAATCTAGAAAAATTAAAATAGGGGAAAAAAATTAAGTTGGAAAATAATCAAATGTTTAAAAAATAAATAATTATTATTAGTAGTAGTATCTGTGACCCTTAAAGGGCACACACTTGGGTCTAGTCTGGGTTTGTTGTTTTAGTGTCGGAACTGCAAAACACGGCAGAAGTGTAACAATCCTGTTACCAAAACTAGAAATCACACAGAGATGACAGGACTGTGGCACTTCGTCCCTTTTTGTCCTTATTATGACAAAGGTGTTAAATGTTATACCTTGGAATAATTCTTCCCTAACCTCAGCATGATTTTACCTTGCACTGCATTTCTTGCATTGAGTTCTTGAGCTGCGTTACCAGGGCCTCAGCCTCAGACTTGTCTTTCCGAAGTTGTTGGTTCTCCTGGGTCAGGCTGTCCAGTGAAGCCTGTGCAGTCTGTTCTGCTTTCTCTGAGACCTACGTGCAAATTAACAGTAGGGGAAGAGTTCAGCCTGAGGTCACATTCTGATTCTGAATAAGCGTCATGAGATATTTAGTATAGTATAGATGTTTTTAAATGCTACATTTTATAATTTTACCATTTCTTCAAATAGTTTTTATGGATTTATAATCTATTTATAATCTAGTATTTTTGCTGCAAAGTTCAAGACCTACACTTACAACTGCAGTACATGAATTGTCAAAATAGCCCCATGCTCTTTCACAAATTAAGTATTATGGTCTTACCGTAGCTTTTTCTTTAATGGTCTTCAACTCCTCAATCTGTTTCCTCAGCTCCAGGCTTTCATCCTGAGACACTTGAAGCTCCTGTTGCACTTTTTCAAACTTGCTGTTTAGTTCCTGCATTTCTTTTGTATGCTGTTCCACAGCATCTGCAAGTGCTTTCTCTCCCAAAGCAAGCATGTCTTTGGATTTAGACTGATTGTCTTCAGCACCCTTCTCCTGAGGAGTCATGGGAAAATGGCAATTTTCAAGTCATATAAGAGTGCACTTGATAAGCAGAATGAAAAAGGGGAGAAAATTACCACAACTAGTAGAAAAGTTGAAATCAATTCAAATAAGATCAGGAATTTTAATAATGTTAGAAGTGTTAAAGGGATAGTTAATCCAAACATGAAAATTGAATCACCATTTAATTATGTTGATCCAAATCCATAAGACTTTGGTTGATCTTTGAACCAATTGAGGATATTTTAATGAAACCAGAGAGGTTTCTTAGAAAACTTAGAAGAACTTTTAAGATCCACAAAGTTAAATTCGTTCAACATATAATCGTATCTCTTCAAAAGGATGAGAAATCTTGGAGTAAACTGCTTGATTCATATGGATTCATTTTACGCAGCCTTTATGACCCTTTGGGATCTTCTAAATTTTGGTTACTTGGACCTTTAACGGAAGGACAGAAACCTCTCAGGTTTCATTTAAAAATTCTTACATTGTGATTTGAAGATGAACCATGTGATTGGAACGACATGCAGGTGAGGAAATGATGATAATTTTCATTTCTTGGTGAACTATCCATTCAAATCATTACACTTAAACACCAGATTCAGACAATGCCTTTATTCCGGTTGGGAACGATAAGTATGTGATGGGAGAAGTTTAACAGTTCTCACCAAAAGCTTGATCCTCTCCTGCAGGATGGAAAGCTCTGCTTGGTGTCTCTTCTCAAGGCTTTTGGCTTCATTCTCAGCCTGGACTTGTGCTTGAGACCGTTTCTCCTCAACCTGAGCTGCCTTCTCCCTCTCCTCTTCAAGCTGGTTCTGAAGCTCGTCTAGTCTCCTGAAATTAGGGAGGATTTGTGAATTGGGTACGAGTTCCTGAAATAAGGCTTGATTTGCAAGATTACAATTTAGTCTACCAAAATATTAGGCCCCACAAACTAAATCACGCTAATATGTAAACAGAGATAAATACTTCTGTTTACTTTCGGTATGGTTTTGTTTTTAAGCATTTTAATCAAGCATATTTAAGCAGACCTTTCTTTCTGCTTGATATCCTCAGTCAGCTTTGTTATTACAGTAGAACTGTCTCCTGATGACTTTGTCATGTCCATAATGTCATTCTCAAGTTTAGTCTTTTCTTTGGTCAGCAGCAGTATCCTTTCTTTGTTTGCTTTCAAATTTCTCTGTAAACCTTAAGATGGAACAAGATACCAATCATACATAATTACAAACATGACATTTTAATTAGTTCTTTCACTGATTCATATTTCATTGAAGAACTTGGTACTGACCAGCAAACTGACTCTTCATATCCTGTAATTCAGCAGAGAGAGATGTGCATTGTTCATCTTTATTCCTGAGCTCTTCACGTAATTCTGAAATAGACAGCAAATCAGTCACGCTGAATGTAAAGTTCAATAAGCTCTTCAAAATCTTACATATTTCAAGTCATAACTGTGTAATCTTTGCATACACATACCTTGATTAGTCTGAGCAGATTTGGCTTGATCATTAGATGTTTTTTCAAGAGTCTGTTTCTAGAAAATGAAGAATGTGAATTGATTTGAGGATTATGGCTGAAACATTCTCTGGCTTAATTCCTTGTATTTGCTTTGTTATTTTGTTGTGTTCTGCATCAGAGGATCGCCAAAGTTGGACTGACATTCATTCACTGACTGAATCAGTCAGAGTGGTTCTTGAGTTTAACTCCTACATTTCCTAAACAGACCCCAGAACCCCACCATCACCCCTGCCACTCAAGTAGGCTTTAATCAGTGGTGTCATTATTTCTGCCTTTCATATGTACTTGTGATACTTAAAGAAAATGTTCACCCAAAGATGAATGACCTCTGTGACTTACTTTCTTCTGTGGATCACAAAAGATTATATTTTGAAAGTAAGTGGGGTCTAAACAACATTGGACCACGCTGACTTTCACTGTATGGACAAAAAATAATAATAAAAACAGTAAATTACAGAATATTAATTTTTGGGTGAACTATCCCTTTAAGTGCTTCTACTATTAGTTACTTTAGTGCCTTTGCTGTATTTCTCTCATGAGATAATTTAACTAGACCGTTTCCATTCAGGTATCTTTTCACAGTCACTTACCAGCTCACTAACTTCTTGCTCCAGAGAGCTCTTTTCCTGCAACAGGCCATTCAGCTCTTGCTGTTTACCCTCTAGTACGGAGTTCAACTCAGTGACCTAAAGCAAGGTGTAGTACCATAATGGAGAAAAATGACAGGGAACAAAACATGAGGAATGTCACACACAAAAACTTGCCAGTCATACAAATTGGAACTTAAAAGTGACGGACTGAAATATCATGGAAAATAAAATCTCAGAACACTCTTAAGAAAAATGTTACCATGGATGTATAGGGCTGCATGATTTGGAGAAAAAAAAAATAAAGAATTCTGATAAAAATTGTGATTGTGAATTTAAAAAAAAAAAATCCAGGTTTGCCATGTTTGTTTGTAGGGTCACACAATTTAGCAAACATGTTGTAATTGTATACGTTTTATACGGCTATAAAACAATAATAATAAAAGGAATTCTTATTACCAAATAAAAATATAGAAGATACCCAGGTTAAAGATTACAGGTTAAAGATAGCCAAACTCAGAGCAGATGCTGATATGGAGTTTGTTTGGAGCAGCATTTACTGTGAACTGAGCCGCTCTGAGATGCTGCAAACAATGGCAGATCATGAGCTGCTCGTGTATGAACACAGTGCTGCGCTTCACTCTGAAACAGCACATATATTTACTTAATTAAGTCTTTGAAATTTGACAATTGCACTAAGGCATACTGTGATTGTTTGCAGCCCTATTATGCAGAATGCACAAATGACATGATCAAACAATAAGAATGAACGACTGAATGACTGAATGAATGACTGAATGACTGAACGACCTGAACACCACTGTTGTCAAATTTGGCACAATGCACCTTCAATGTGTCAAATGAACATGGATGTATAGGGCTGCATGATTTGGAGAAAAAAAAAATAAAGAATTCTGATAAAAATTGTGATTGTGAATTTAAAAAAAAAAAATCCAGGTTTGCCATGTTTGTTTGTAGGGTCACACAATTTAGCAAACATGTTGTAATTGTATACGTTTTATACGGCTATAAAACAATAATAATAAAAGGAATTCTTATTACCAAATAAAAATATAGAAGATACCCAGGTTAAAGATTACAGGTTAAAGATAGCCAAACTCAGAGCAGATGCTGATATGGAGTTTGTTTGGAGCAGCATTTACTGTGAACTGAGCCGCTCTGAGATGCTGCAAACAATGGCAGATCATGAGCTGCTCGTGTATGAACACAGTGCTGCGCTTCACTCTGAAACAGCACATATATTTACTTAATTAAGTCTTTGAAATTTGACAATTGCACTAAGGCATACTGTGATTGTTTGCAGCCCTATTATGCAGAATGCACAAATGACATGATCAAACAATAAGAATGAACGACTGAATGACTGAATGAATGACTGAATGACTGAACGACCTGAACACCACTGTTGCCAAATTTGGCACAATGCACCTTCAATGTGTCAAATGAAATTTGAAAACTATAGCGGACGAACTGATTCCTGCCTGTTTCTCATATAAAGCTATTGTATGGCTTCAGAATAGCTGAAATGCCACTTTTGTCACTGAGCTCGACAGCCCCAGTTTCCATGCATTTATGCTGAACAGAAAAGAGCAACTTGGACATTCTGCTAATTGAAACTATAAATAGACATACTATTAATAAAATAAATAGCACTCAAATAGTGCTTTTTTTGTGGGTTTACTATCTACATTTGTTATTATTGATCTAACCATTATTTAACTACAAAATGGTTTAGGGTGTCTTGGAATCTAAAAATAAATGGAGTTCGCACTCCAAAGAACATAGCATTTGTGCCAAAATCTTTGGCAACTGCTGTTGATGCTTCATTATCAGCCTTTGTAGATTCCTCGTTATGCATGTTCTACTTGCAAATGGACATGAAGGCCTACCTTTTCTTCCTGAGATCTGGATTGGCTTTTTGCCTCCTCTATTTGGGTCAATAACCTTTGCATCTCTTGGTTCCCTTGACTTTGCTGTGACTGCAGAGTCTGAACGGCTGTTTTTTGCTCCAGAGCTTCTTGTGACTTTTCATCCAACTGCTGCCCTAACTTAACTCCCGCGTCCTCTAGCTCTTTTACCCTGAGCTCAGCACTGTGAAGTTTTCCCAAGACATCCTCCATTTCCACCAGGTGCTGCTCCTCTGCCTTCTCCAAATTGGTGCGTAGCGTTTCTACCAGCCGTTCGTTCTCTTCGGTGACTTTCAGGAGCTGTGCCTTGTGTTCTTTGGCTTCACCCGTCCACTCCATGGTTTCAGAAGCATGTTTGTTAGCAAGCTCTTCGAGCTCCAGTTTATGTGTTAATTTCAACTGTTCCAGAGCACTGTGTACCTCCAGCAGCTCAGATTTGCTTGCCTCATGGGAGGTTTTGAGCTCCTCCAAGGCTTGCTGATGTGAGGCCTCAACTGATGCTAGTTTAGCATGCCACTCCTCAATGATATTTGAATTCTCCTCCTTGGATTTCACCAGCTGACATAAAAGCTGCTCGTTATCCTTCGATAAGCGACCTGAGGATGACTGGAGTTGTGACAGAGATTCACTTTGTTCTTTTTCTCGAGCCGCAAGCATCTCACGCAAGGAAGACAGCTCTGCTTGGTGACTGTCACTTTGAGCGGCCAGCTGTGTACGGAGGGAACAGAGTTCCTCCTGGAGTACTGCCGTGGTGGAGTCAGTAACCCCATCCTGCCCTGGTAAAGCTTCCAGTGACTTACGAAGTGCAGCTACCTCCTTGTCCCTCAACGCAAGATCCCGCTCCAACTCCAATATATGGGACTTCTCAGAGACTGTGGCCACCTAAAAGAAAAAAAATGCTCTTTTAGTTAACTACTGTATGTGTGCTGTATGGATAAGTGAGAAGTAATCTGATGGTATGGACATGATCGTCTTTTCAGGTTAAAGTGGATCATTTAAATATATTTTCATAGAAATGTAGTTCCATTCAATTTATAGGAGCAATGTTACACAAGCGAAGTTAAAAAAACAAAACAAAACTGGGACAGAATTGGGAGGATTAAGGACTTTACAAGAGGGTGAACAACCACCAACCTAAAACTGATCATTTAACTGGGTTCCCACACTTGAATGGATTATCATGATCTTGTCTGTACATTTTCCATAGACATTGTTGAGCAGATTTAAATTTATATGCCAGTTGGTTTGATTTCTTAATCAAATTTAGTAAGATCTTCAACCCTCTGCTTTACACTACCTCTCCCTAATAGATTGCAATAGTTGGGTTCAGAAAGTTAAAGTTTTCCAAAAGATAACTGATTTTTAACAATAACCTATACACTTTTTAAGCCTGCTGTGAGCCCTGATGTTGTTAATCAACTGTATATGCTTTAGTTGAAGCCAACAGTTTATTTCAATTTATAAAAAAAAAAAAAAAAAAAAGAATCTTGATTAACAGCAGAATCCCTTTGAACCTGGTGGAGAAAAAAAAGTACATTGCACATGATGCTCTGAAGAAAATGTGATGTAGTCGTGAGTGATTTTGTAATAAACATAAAATATATTGTGTCTATATATACAGAAGTGGCCAAAAGTGATGTCCGGTCTAGGAAAATGGACATTATTTATTAAAAAATTTTATTAAGGGTTTTGTAAGCATATTGCATAGTTGTGCTAGGTGTGTAAAACTAATATATGCACTTAATAGTTTCATTTGTAATAATGCAATGAAACAACAAGATATGTTCATACAAGAAAAATTATTTAATTCATAATTATATTCTTGTTTTCAATGTATGCTTTATTCTGTAAGCTTTTTGTTTTTCTATGCATTTTTGTGCATGGTAAATAAATCCACATTCCATGATAAACTGTTGTTTGCTTTCTTGCCAAATAATTGTGTCAGCTAAAAACCTTAACCAAGTGTTTTCTTCTTCCCAATATACTTTTTATTTTGTAGGGTCATTAACTCTTTCCCCGCCAAACAATGAATTTTCCACACTTTCACTGTTATACGCTCGGGGGCGCTATTACGCATCTCCTGAATGAGTCCAGAATGTCCTGATGAAATGTTACCGAGTGAAACTTGCCTACATTCAACAAGTGTTGATAAAAAAAAAAAGCTTGAAGCTAGAATAAAACAGATTTTTGTTTAAAAGTAAAGGTTCTGTTCTTTATTTTGATGTATTGCGTGTTCAGATATTCATACAACAAAATATTCTGGGGGCTAGGGCTGGGTATCGTTCAAAAATGTTCGATATCGATACGATACCTTGACTTCGATACCAGACAAAGAAACACCAACAACAGAAAGCAGAAAGGAGTCAAGGATGTCTACTACGAAGTATATGTATGCAATTAATATAATGTTAAACATTCAGTATTAACGCCTGTATAGCTGACGTGCGCGAGCTGATAAACAAAGCACACGGAGTGGATTGAGCGCGCGGCGGCGCAGATGCGCGAGCTTGTCGAGTGAATATACCTTTCTCACAGACATCACTGGAAAGTTTGTAGTTCAGGCGGATATGTAAAAAACAAGTAAAACAATGCACAAGTTACTTAACGGTAGGGAGAGAGAGAGAGAGAGACAGAGAGAGAGAGAGAGAGAGAGAGAGCACGCACTTCTGTTGTGTGATCTTTGATGTTCACTCACTTAGCACACGCATCATTTGGATTAAAACTAAATCGTAAAAATAAGACCATTTATAGGGGCATTCACTATAAACCTTAGGCATACACGACTTTCAGGCAAAAGTGCATCTAGCCTGTGTGAAATGCGCTAGGCTGTACTACTGTCCTCTCATTCTGCATCAGCACAAATACTTGCACGCGTTGCGCGTTTTGCTTGCTTGCATTATATGAGAGGCTTTGGAACATAAATCGCAACACGTTTCAGATGAAAATATCACAGTTCGGAGATTTATAACGAGTGGTTCCCTACATTATTACAGCAAAGCGCATGATTGCAGTACTAAGCCGCTGCAATGGAGCAGCTGTTTAACTCTGAGTTCTTGTAATATTTTATTACCATTTTCTAAACTATAGCAAAAAAACTGTGATAATGTGAGAAATGTTGAAGGTGTCAGAATAAATTTTGGCTTGACTGTATCTATTTGATAAATGAAGTTAACCAACTAACATTATACATACTCTTGGTTTCTGTACCCACTATTTAAATTTTTTTACAAATCCAATAAAAATATTGGTATCGGTACTCAGTATCGGCAAGTACCCAAAATAAAAGTATCGGTATCGGGCGAGTACTGAAAAAAGTGGTATCGGTGCATCCCTAGTTTTAATAAAGCTCAAATAGTCTTCAGTTTACACATCTGTTAGGCTAAATTTACACTAGTTATTGTTCATGTTAAAATGCATAGCTCAGACAGAATCATGATTTTGATTTATTTTCCACTGATTTACTGATAAGCATTAGCAGCTTCCAACGCTGTCTGCTTGTGTTCTCTCTTCCATGATCTCTGCTCTGACTCAGAGGTAATAACATATTTAATTTCAGCAACATTACATGGCCAAAACACACATTAGACGGCAATCGGAAGTTATTACAAACACTCGATGGTGGTTTAAAGTGAGTTTTGAGTAAAAGCAGAATATAAATCTTATTTATTGTCTTATGTAGAATGATGCTACAGTTTGCATGAATGGTCACATAACACGCGCTTTCGGTCACGTAACGTTAGTATGAACGGACATCTGCATATGATCAGAACTCCACGCATCTCCCCCGCTACTCTCCACTGGAAATGAATGACCGGTCTGTCGCTTGTGGTTTGTCGGAGATAGTGGAAAGCCAGCTTGAAACACAGTGGAAACGCCACTACGACGAGGATCGTTTTCATTTTAAAACATAAACGTGCCAATGTAAATGTAGCCTTACATCTATGGGGGCTGGGACGAATTCACACTACAGCCTCACGTGTGCGCCACATCTCCGAGTGTAACCGGTGTAAACTAGTAGGTGTGTTCGACTTGACGCTGACTGACTGTGCAGACGATCGGTGTATTACAGTTCCACGAGAGCTAAAGAGAGCAGACTGCTCCGTGTGCTTTCGAATCGCTCTCACAGATGATCGATCTGCGCCACACTTCTTCTAGTCTAATTCGGTCGCTGCCTAAAAAGTATCGAACTCGATACCCAGCCCTACTGGGGGCCATGAAATTACAAATATATTGAACTCAAAGCAGTGTGACCAAGACTTGCGTATAATATTTGAAAATGCATGTTTCAAGTTCTGCTGAATGGATACAAGGAGTACTTTCATAGTTACGTTAGGTCAACAAAAAACTGTCAGTGAGTCCAGTCTAAATAAAAGACTTTTCTCATTGTGGTAAAACTGGACTCATCCATATTTACTTTTCCCTAATTTAAATTTCAAGCCAAATAAAGATATGATGCCACAACTTAAAGCAGGGATCTCCAATAGGGGTGTAACATCCCTATGCCCTACTCCCTTCGAAGGGCAGAGCCCTTGGAGTGGAGACTTTGGAGTGAGCAGGGCATGTGCGTGCCATTATGTAGCCGTTTGGAACTGTTGCAAATAAACATACATTTTATATTTTAAAGGGGTCATATGAGATGCTGCTAAAAATAACATTATTTGGCGCAATTCGGTCGCTGCCTAAAAAGTATCGAACTCGATACCCAGCCCTACTGGGGGCCATGAAATTGTAGTGAAAATGATCAAAAATGCTGGCAGTGGCTGGCAACTTTTTTTCAAAAAGTCTAGGGGAGAAAGAGTTCAAAGCAAATTAGAAATTTCCTCTCCGGACATCAGTTTTGGCCACTACATATACATATAAATCAAATATAATTTTTATATTTCTTTATAATATTTCTTTGAAGCCGTTAAGTACACTGTCTTATATCTTTGTCTTTTTTCCGAATTTTAAATACTTTTGTGCTTCAAATAAAAGTTTGTAATCTTGTAATTTGCTTTATAGCTGGTGGTTTGGTTCATGGCTTAAAATGCTTCAACAAAAACATTTAAAAATCCCTATGGGAAAAACGATTGGAAAAACCAAACTCCAGAACCAACCAATGCACTCTGTATATAAAATATATATTTTCTATAGAACTTCCGAAGTTTGTATGGATTTCCAAAGGACAACTTATAATCACCTGATGTTTTCAGGTTCTCTATGACTGTGGGAACCCTGGTACAAAACAAATTGGCGTTCTCCATACCTATATGTATATTAAGACACCACAATAATATTACAGCAATTAGATATTTAGTGTGTGTTAGTAATCATTCCTCAAATTAGTTACTAATTAGAATAATTGAATAACATGCATTGAAGATCCCTCACTAATGCCCTGACATATAAAAAATGTTAGCTGGAGCATTGTAGCATATCTTCAGTGATCCTTGACCCATAGCCCATGTCATGGTAAGATCCATTACCCTAGAGTCTTCTAACTCCCTCTGAAGTTTGTCAGCTTTGGTCTTTTCAAAGAGAAGACTCTGTTCAAGCTCCTTAAGAAGGGCATGCTCCAGCTGCGTCTGCGTCTGTTAGTACAGAAAGGGGAGAGGAAGAAACACAACCAGTGCCACCATCACATGCCAGTCTGATGCAGAATGAAGAGGGGTGAGGAGGACAGTTGTGGAAATATAACGCAGAAAAAGAGGAGCAGGAAGATGTTGTGATGAATGAAAGTCAAATCAATGCCACAGCTGAGGAAAGTGTGAGGAAATATTGCAAGAGTATTGGTCAATGCTTATAGACATGCTGATGATGGCCAAACAAACAAATAAAATGGCAGACACTGCCAAACGCCATGCAGCATTATAGTGACTGGGGTTAGGAACAGTAACAAAAACGGTACTTTGACCACAACAAAGAGGAGAGGAACAATAAAAAAAGTTATTCCTCATGACTAAGCACTAAATCAAATAAAACATGATTATACTGAAGTTCGCACAATGAGATCTTCATGTAGGTTAGTGACTTGTTACGGCATTACAGATGAATTCAGTATTTATTACTCTACCAAATTCAATAGACTTCTAAGACTATTTAAAAAGACAACATTTTTAACATCATGCTGTACACTGTGTGGGCTGGATGATCAACTTGACAAATTAACTTGAAAGTTGACAATATAGTATCCATTTTCCATGGAAATTCACTTGTAAAACAACTGACCTTTGTTATTTTAAAACAATTTTACTTCGTATAGCTACAACTGATCAAGTATGTAAAGCATCTCCACAAGAATTCATTGTCTAGGTTGCTGATTTGCATGTTTTAGAACCTAAAATCATTAGCCAACAGTTTCATGAATTTAAATGGATTATTATTTAATTATTTTTGAATAAGTAGACCAAGACATGAAAACAACTCAAATGTGCAATAATGAAGGCTGGAAACAATCAATGAACCTATCAAGAGTACTTGATTCATGAATGGGGCTAGATAAAACAAAACCAGAAAATATCAACTAAAATATGTAACACACATTACAGCTCTTTAAAATCTTATTTTGCAGATGATTCGTACAAATATATTGAACTCAAAGCAGTGTGACCAAGACTTGCGTATAATATTTGAAAATGCATGTTTCAAGTTCTGCTGAATGGATACAAGGAGTACTTTCATAGTTACGTTAGGTCAACAAAAAACTGTCAGTGAGTCTGTCAGTCTAAATAAAAGACTTTTCTCATTGTGGTAAAACTGGACTCATCCATATTTACTTTTCCCTAATTTAAATTTCAAGCCAAATAAAGATATGATGCCACAACTTAAAGCAGGGATCTCCAATAGGGGTGTAACATCCCTATGCCCTACTCCCCTCGAAGGGCAGAGCCCTTGGAGTGGAGACTTTGGAGTGAGCAGGGCATGTGCGTGCCATTATGTAGCCGTTTGGAACTGTTGCAAATAAACATACATTTTATATTTTAAAGGGGTCATATGAGATGCTGCTAAAAATAACATTATTTGGCGTATTTGGTGTAATGAAATGTGATTATGCGGTTTAAAGTTAAAAGTTAAAATAACACATTTTCCACATACTGTACATTATTGTTTCTCCTCTATGCCCCGCCTTTCTGAAACGCATCGATTTTTACAAAGCTCATCAGTCTGAAAAAGCAAGGTGTGCTGTGATTGGCCAGCTATCCAATGCGTTGTGATTGGCCGAATACCTCAAGCGTGAGACGGCAATGTTACGCCCCTCACTACTGTTGATGCCGTGTCCCGGCCGGAGCGATGAGACAAAAACATTAAAACCCATTACAAACGAGAAATTTGTTGCATCTAGTTTTAGTCAATGAAAATTGTATTTTAGTCTCTTTTTAGAAATGCAATTCTATTTAACCCAGTCAATATAGTATAAGTACTAGTAGTATAGACGAAACCAAAATTTTCTTTTAGCCAAACCCACTTCAAACAAGGTTATCTTATTATATTGTTACCTTATAGACTCAAAAATACATCCATTCCAGACACGGAATATGCTCTGATTTGAATTTACAACATTTATTTTACCAACCAAACATGTTAGAAGTACACACACACAAATTTAAATAAAGACGAACCACGTGGCAATCAGTAGGCTTAATTTCTAATGAGAGACCAATTTATATGACATATTTTAATTTTAGCTATGATTCATATTTAAACATTGTGAGATAGCTAGTTATAATGGTAATTAAACAAAGTTTTGCTCACTCTGTGTATTTTTGATTTTACAGCTGGGTCATTTTGTTGCAGTAGCAAAAGATAGCTTGATTTAAAACTTTGAATTGAATAAAAAAATGACAAGGAGGCTAAGCAGTTAATAATAAAATAAAAACAAATAAAGAAATTACTAATGATAGCACAAATAAAAAAAAATCACGATAGGCCTACAAATGAAATAAATAGCTTTTTAGTTTTTCGGGTAGGTCTAACACACAGTAGGGCTATTAAGAGATTTTTTTTTTTTTACCAATTATCCAAATAATGTTTAATCCTAGAAAGCTATTATTATCAGAGGACACATGAGCATAACAGTTAGCAGATCAATGAATGAGAGGGCAGCGTTACCAGAGTTGCCCATATACCACACCTTGTTACAACACAGTAGGGCTATTGCAAACAGAAACAATACTGTACTACATAGATGTTTCCTGTCAGCTTGATTTTTGAGTGGACTTTGCTGTATATGAGTGATGTGACTGAGCGGAGCACACACACGCATAGAGCGGATAATACACAGAGCGTCACACCACGTGAAAGTGAATCCTGAGCGGTGAACTAATTTTCGGCAGACGGAATTTCAGTGCATCTCTAATTATTGGCGACATTAGAAATGGATATTATATAATAGCTGCTTTTTTGAACATTTTAGCAATTTAAAAATATTAAAAACGGATTTTTTACACGGCACCCCTGCTCTCGACAGACGGCACCCCGGTTGGGAAACACTGTGCTAAATAATGCCGCGAGTGGGGCTTGAGGAAGTGACGTCGCCTGCGTCTGCGCAGTGCGACCTGATGCAGCTCCTGAAGTGAGACACAGGAAACAGAAATACTGCAAAATAATAATAATAACACGACTAAACGAGACGAAATAACGTTGTAACATTTAGTTTCATCTCGTTTTGGTCAAAGAAAATGAAGAGACATTTTAGCATATATAAAGAATATCTCTTTGGATTTGAGACTTTAGTCTTTGCAACTTTACAGATCTTCTTTATGCACCAAGAGCTTGTAACACTCCAAAGAGAAAGGAAAAATTGAAATCGTATCATATGACCCCTTTAAAAAGTTTTATATATATATATATATATATATTTGTTTTTATATATTATATAGCATATTTTAAAAACTTTTTAAAATATAAAATGTAAGTTTATTTGCAACAGTTATGCTAACAACAATTAAAAGACATTTATGCCATTAAAACAGCGACATCTGCTGACGGACACCATGTTGCATTGTCACGGGAAAATGCCAGCTGAAGATAATGAGGATATTACGTCAATCCCTTTGCCAAGTGCATTCCAAACGGCTACATAATGGCACGCATGTACCCTGCTCATTCCAAAGTCTCCACTCCAAGGGCTCTGTCCTACGAAGGTAGTAGGGCATAGGGATGATTACTTCCATTTGGAATTTGCCCCGTGAACCGTTTGGTATTAAAACGCGTACCGTTACACCCCTAATCTCCAACCCTGCTGCAGGAGAGCACCCATCCTGCAGACTTCAGCTCCACCCCTGCTCCAACACACCTGCCTGTAATTATTAAGTAATCCTGAACACCTTGATTATCTGGTTCAGGTGTGTCTGATTGGGGTTGGAGCTGAATTCTGCAGAGCAGTAGCTCTCCAGGAGCAGGGTTGGAGACTCCTGCCTTAGGCCTTCTGTTTTAAACAAGCAACATGTAAATAATAGACATGGATAACATTTAAAATGCTTTCCCACAGTACTTTTCCACAGCACTGTAAACCTGCAGCTTTGAAGTCTGTGTTAGCGGTCAATCTGTGGTATTTAGAACCTCTATCGTTCACGCATCTTGTCATGTAAATTTAGTGAATGGATCAAAGTCTAGTGTGACCACAGCTGTGGGTCTGAATGTTATATCAGATCAAAAATGTTCAAATACCTCCAAATCTCCTTTGGTAATGCAAGCTTCCTCCACCCGAAACTGCAGGTCCTCCACCTTCCTGTTTGGGACAATAATTTTTTTTTCAGTCAGTTTTTATTTTCATTTTACGTTCTTACCTCCTACAAGCAGAATAGCCCAGAATATGAACGTAACCCGGTAAATTGAATTGCATTTTAAGAGTATCCCTCATAGAAAGAAAACGCTTAATTAATGGACTAAGATAAAAGCAGGTAAGAACAGAAGTGGCTTAATGAAGATGGCGATAAAAAAAAGACCAAATATGCTATAGAACTTATTAAAAATATATTATGTGTACATGCAAGCAGATGAGCCCATATGAGCTGAATTGCATAAGCGTTTTCTTCCCCATAGAAAACCGCGCTTAACGTGGCTTAATAAAAGAAAGTGACATAAAAAGGTAAGAACAGAAGTGGCTTAATGAAGATGGCGATAAAAAAAAGACCAAATATGCTATAGAACTTATTAAAAATATATTATGTGTACATGCAAGCAGATGAGCCCATATGAGCTGAATTGCATAAGCGTTTTCTTCCCCATAGAAAACCGCGCTTAACGTGGCTTAATATAAGACAGTGACATAAAAAGCCCAACTTTTATATTTTATTAAAAATATACTACAGGCAATCAACGCAGTAATCCATTAAGCCAGTGGTTCTCAAACCTTTTACAATGGCGTACCCCCTAGGGCATTTAGCCTAACATTCTTCTGAGTACCCCCACTTAGACCGCAGTCACACCTTTTCTATTAAGGGATAATATTTGCCCCCTTAAATTGATTTACTTGTGCATTTTTACTATTTAATTGTATGTCATGTTTTATGTCATATTCTTCACATTCCATTAAGTGTATTATTAATATAATAAATAAAGCAATAAATGATGGCAAAACGAAGTTATACTTTTAGATTCAAAACTGAAATCGCCAGTAGGTGGCGGCAAGTCACTGTCTAATGAGCAAGGCGAAGCATTCAGTAACGAAGCAAATGGTTGTAGTTATGAAAGGGTTATTAATCAGTTTCGATTATCAGTACTCTCTGAATCATTCAAAGCTGCAGATTCATTCACTAACGAAACATTGCTTGGAGACGCACACCAGTTCTGTTGTCTCGTAGGTTTCAGAGCGAATAAGAATGTAACAGTGCTCGCTTTATAAAATTTCTAATAATCTTTTATATGATTGAATCTTCAAACTGCTAACACTTCGCGGTTTCGATTTATGCCCTATTGTAAGTGACAGAGTATTTTATGTTTCAGCGATTTGATCGCGCCGGCGCCTCATGCGCACATATTCATTGCAAACGGCCTGTTCATTATTAAAATAAAACAGAATCACCAATACAGATAAAATGTTACACAACGAGCTGTATGAACCACTAACTTACAAGCTGTAAAGTAAACAGGAGGTGTTTGTCCGAACTCAACTGGTTTTGCGAGGGAACGCAAAAGTTTTGCCAGAGAACGCAAAAAAAATTCCTCCCACCCCGAATTTTTTTTCCACCACCATGTCCTTTTAGGGGCTCCGTATCATTCTATGAATTTTATTGACCAAAAAAGCAAAAGCCTCTTAGTGCCATCTGAAATTTTCTTCTGAAATTAGCATTTTTCTCAGGCTCCTATGTGTAGGTTCAGTAATTACACTTTAATGGCAATGAATAGGTTCTTTTCACTGCCATGAAAGTGAAATAACTGAACATAAACATAGGAGCCTGAGAAAAATGCAAATTTTATAAGAACATTTCAGGTGGCACTTACAGGCTTTTGCATCTGAAATCTTCATATGCCCCTTCATCAACAATATCAATATTCATTATCAATGAATACTGTGTCTACTAGCTCTAAGGTTATTTACATGCAAATACATTCCTAAAAGTCATGAAAAGCCATCAAATTCAAACTGATTTCATGGAGTCTTTAATATGAAGAAATCTTAAATTGATTCATTAATACTACACCTTTTCTCCTCCTCCAGTTGGTTGAGCAGTTCCACCTTCTCTCTGTCCGCAGCCTCCACAAGCGCTCGCAGCTGGTCCATTTTGGCATCAACATCCAATACATACTACAGAAACGATTCAAAACAATTACATTTACCTAATCTACCCTTATAACTTGCATTAATATTTTCCATATTATATATATATATATATATAGTGCTGTGAAAATATTTTTGTGAATATTTTTTTTTTGCATGTTTTATATTACACAAAGATAACCCAAGTAAATACAAAATGCAGCTTTTAAATAATGATTTTATTTAATAAGGGAAAAAAGCTGTCCAAACCTGACTGGCCCTATGTGAAAAAGTAATTGCCCCCTAAATCTAATAACTGGTTGTGCCACCCTTGGCAGCAACAACTGCAATCAAACATTTGCGATAACTGGCAATGAGTCTTTCACATCGCTGTGGATAAATTTTGGCCCACTCTTCTTTGCAGAATTGTTTTAATTCAGCCACATTGGAGGGTTTTCGAGCATGAATGGACTGTTTTAAAGTCATGCGACAGCATCTCAATCGGATTTAAGTTCGGACTTTTTTTTTTACCACTCCAAAACCTTAATTTTGTTTTTCTTGAGCCATTCAGAGGTGGACTTGCTGGTGTGTTTGGGATCATTGTCCTGCTGCATAACCCGAGTGCACTTGAGCGTGAGGTCACAAACTGACGGGCAAAAATTTTGGACAAATGTGAGACGACCCTTTGTGTTCTTTTTGGTCAGCAATGGCTTTCGCCTTGGAACTCTCTCATGGATGCCGTTTTTGCCCAGTCTCTTCCTTATTGTTGAATCATGAACACTGACCATAGGCAAGTGAGCCAGGCAGGTTTGGACAGCTTTTTCCCTTAATAAATGAAATCATCATTTAAAAACGGCATTTTGTATTTACTTACATTATCTTTGTGTAATATAAAAATGTGTTTGATAATCTGAATCTTTTAAGTGTAAAAGATAAGCAAAAAATAAATAAAAAAACAGGAAGGGGGTAAAAACCTTTTCACGCCACTGTATGTGTGTGTGTATATATATATATATATATATATATTTATTAGGAGTGCTTTGACTACTTGAAATCTTGAAAAAATTTAACTTTACTCATTGGAGTGATTCTACTCACAACACATCAAGAGCCGGGGCAGACACACTCTTAGGCCCAATCCCATTTCTACCCCTTACACCTACATTTCGCATTTTCATGTGAAAGGATAGGGGTGTCTCGATTCTCTTTTGGTTGGAGGGGTAGGGGTAAGGGAAGGGCCAGATTGCCCTTCAAACGAAATTTTTTCGGGACAACACTTCAAACGAAGGGGTATCAGAATTATCAGCATAAACCGGCTACAGCGGCAACATGGCTGCCCAAGTGAACAAAAAGACACAAATGTAAGCATTTTTGACATTAATTAAGATTTTAAAGATTTTAGAAATCGCTAAACCTTTTTCTCAAATTTGGCAATATCAAAAAATATTTGAGAGAGAGCTGCCCAAGTGAACAAAAAGACACAAATGTAAGCATTTTTGACATTAAGATTTTAAAGATTTTAGAAATCGCTAAACCTTTTTCTCAAATTTGGCAATATCAAAAAATATTTGAGAGAGAGAGATAGATGAAAGATGCGTGATCTGTGAGTCTCTCTTTACAATGAGTGAGTTTACTTCAAAAAGAAGAAAAAGCGATTATATCCTCTCGTTGCTGGAAAATATAATGTAGTAATTCAGTACTTAAACTGTTATTAATAAAAGTCGTGGGACAGTGTTGATAAGTTTCTTTGCTCCTGGATGTATGAGCTGCACGATCTCCGATATATGCGAGTGTGTGTGTCAGTAAGCATTGCATTAATATAGAATGGTAATTAAAGGCTCTAATGCGCACCAGCACATGTGTGTGTATTGTAGGAGCTAGACGACGTATGATGACGTGTGACGGTATAGTAGTGGTGTTCAATTTCTTAGGGAAATATTTTCATCCCTGTATGGGTATAAAATAAAATTGGGACTGGGCCTTCCTGTCATACACACACCCTTGTTACTCCAATTACATACATAGAGGTGACCCAGGGTCAAAACCTTGAGAAATATCTAGAGATAAAGATAAAACATTATGTACATGCCATAACTGTAGTATTAATAGATTCTGTAATCAATCACATGCCAATACATAAAGGCAGCACACTGTGGTCATAGATAAATAAATAAATAAAAATAAAGTAAATAAATATGACGTTTATGAAGTGATTTCACAACCACTACTTCTGAAACAGAAAGTATCAAGTGGAAGTAACAAGGGGAAGAAAGGCTTTTATTAGAACCTCAGAGCCTGAGCACTGACGTAAATGAGCACTCATTCTTCCTCTTCATTTGCTTATAAAGGCTATAATACTTTTTTATATGCTGACAGCATTCCGCAAATGTGCATTTATATCATAAAAATCAGTATTTCAATATCTAATAAACATTTAATTCCACAAACACTGTAAACTTTAGCAAATGTAGTTAAAATCTTCTAAACTGTGCATTAAAGTCTGCTTAAAAACATGTATACTGTGTGCAAGATCTGTGCAAATGATCGAAGCGGTGTGAACTGTATGCAGAAAGTAGTCTTTAAAAAAAATAAAATCACTGGACGCCCACAAGCAATTTCTACGATTATAAGTTACTGTGGTTTAGTTCCCCACCTCCCTGTATATATTTAACTAATTGAATTCATATAAATGTGTGATTAGTTGACTAATTGCATGTTTAGTCGACTACTAATCAACTAGAAAAATATTTAATCGGGGGCAGCCCTAATAAACACATCCACTATGTTAAGACTGTGCCTTAAGAACTACAGTGGGGAAAAAATGTATTTGATTTCCTGATGATTTTGTAAGTTTGCCCACTTACAAAGAAATTAAGGGTCTGTAATTTTTATGGTAGGTTTATTTTAATGTATAGAGACAGAATACCAACAAAAAAAATCCAGAAAAAACACATTACAGGTGCATCTCAATAAATTAGAATGTCGTGGAAAAGTTAATTTATTTCAGTAATTCAACTCAAATTGTGAAACTCGTGTATTAAATAAATTCAATGCACACAGACTGAAGTAGTTTAAGTCTTTGGTTCTTTTAATTGTGATGATTTTGGTTCACATTTAACAAAAACCCACCAATTCACTATCTCAACAAATTAGAATACTTCATAAGACCATTAAAAAAAACATTTTTAGTGAATTGATGGCCTTCTGGAAAGTATGTTCATTTACTGTACATGTACTCAATACTTGGTAGGGGCTCCTTTTGCTTTAATTACTGCCTCAATTCGGCGTGGAATGGAGGTGATCAGTTTGTGGCACTGCTGAGGTGGTATGGAAGCCCAGGTTTCTTATGCAGATGAGCTGAAGGCCACTGTCATTTTTGGTCTCTTGTTTCTCATTTTCCTCTTGACAAGGGGTTCAGGTCTGGTGAGTTTGCTGGCCAGTCAAGCACACCAACACCATGGTCATTTAACCAACTTTTGGTGCTTTTGGCAGTGTGGGCAGGTGCCAAATCCTGCTGGAAAATGAAATCAGCATCTTCAAAAAGCTGGTCAGCAGAAGGAAGCATGAAGTGCTCCAAAATTTCTTGGTAAACGGGTGCAGTGACTTTGGTTTTCAAAAAACACAATGGACCAACACCAGCAGATGACATTGCACCCCAAATCATCACAGACTGTGGAAACTTAACACTGGACTTCAAGCAACTTGGGCTATGAGCTTTTCCACCCTTCCTCCAGACTCTAGGACCTTGGTTTCCAAATGAAATACAAAACTTGCTCTCATCTGAAAAGAGGACTTTGGACCACTGGGCAACAGTCCAGTTCTTCTTCTCCTTAGCCTAGGTAAGATGCCTCTGAGGTTCCTTGTCTCTGGAAGGAATCTATTATTGTGCCTGTGCCTAAAAATAATGCACCACAATGTTTAAATGAGTACAGACCTGTAGCACTTACCTCTTTGATTATGAAAACTTTTGAGAAGGTTGTGAAGGATAAGCTTTTGACCATGGTACAGGAAAATTTAGATCCGTTTCAGTTTGCCTACAGGTCTGGTAGGGGGGTTGATGAAGCGATAAGTACTATATTAAACATGATTTTAGCACATCTTGAGGGTGTAAAGACTTTTGTGCGATTAGTTTTTATAGATTTTTCATCTGCCTTTAATTGTATCCAGCCACATATCTTAGCAGAAAGGTTAAATAGAGTTTATAATATTGATTTCGGGCTGATATGCATTTGTGCTTTATACTAATGAGTGTCGAACGCAACTAGAGAGACGTCATATCATCAAGTTTGCGGATGATTCAGTGATTGTTTCCCTTTTAAATAGTGAAGATCTTGATCATGGTCCTGTACTGGCAGATTTGATTGATTGGTGTAAATTGTCCTTTTTGGATATAAATGTACTTAAAACTAAAGAGATGATTATAGATTTTAGGAAGAATCCTACAGTCATCTCTCCTGTGGTCATTAATGATCATGTTGTTGAGGTTGTACATCAATTTAAATACCTTGGTACTGTAATAGATGAACAGTTGACCTTTGAGGCTCATGTGGATGCTGTGTGTAAGAAAGCCCACCAGCGTATGTTCTACCTGCGGAAGCTTTGTAGTTTTAAGGTGGACAGTACTTTCATGAAGATGTTTTACTTTTGTTGTATTGAATCTGTCATTACTTTCTCATTTGTGTGTTGGTATGGGTCACTAAACGTTAAAAACAGGAACAGATTGCAGGGTATTGTTAAAGTGTGTGGTAAGATTGTTGGCACCATTTTAAATGATTTGAACGATTTGTATAAGGCTAGGACTTTGAAGAAGGCGGAGTTAATTATGAATGATCCCAGCCATCCCTTGCAGAATGTTTTTAAGTTGCTTCCTTCTACTCGTTGATATTATTTGCCTTTATGTAGGACTAATAGATTTAAAAATTATTTTATACCAGCTGCCATTAGCTTCTTAAATTATAAATAATTTTATGTATATTATTAATGGAAGTCATTGTGTGTTTGTTTGTGTTGTGGTTGCTTGTTTGTTGTTTGCATATGGTTTACTGTTGGCTGTAAAACAAATTGCCCTTTGGGGATAATAAAGTTGACCTTGACGTTGTCTGTGGTTCAGGAGTGGCTTAACAAGAGGAATACGACAACTGTAGCCAAATTCCTTGACACGTCTGTGTGTGGTGGATGTTGGTGCCATGACCCCAGCCTCAGTCCATTCCTTGTGAAGTTCACTCAAATTCTTGAATCGATTTTGCTTGACAATCCTCATAAGGCTGCGGTTCTCTCGGTTGGTTGTGCATCTTTTTCTTCCACACTTTTTCCTTCCACTCAACCTTCTCTTAACATGTTTGGATACAGCACTCTGTGAATAGCCAGCTTCTTTGGCAATGAATGTTTGTGGCTTACCCTCCTTGTGAAGGGTGTCAATGATCGTCTTCTGGACAACTGTCAGATCAGCAGTCTTCCCCATGATTGTGTAGCCTAGTAAACCAAACTGAGAGACCATTTTGAAGGCTCAGGAAACCTTTGCAGTTGTTTTGAGTTCATTAGCTGATTGGCATGTCACCATATTCTAATTTGTTGAGATAGTGAATTGGTGGGTTTTTGTTAAATGTGAGGCAAAATCATCACAATTAACAGAACCAAAGACTTAAACTACTTCAGTCCGTGTGCATGGAATTTATTTAATACACGAGTTTCACAATTTGAGTTGAATTACTGAAATAAATGAACTTTTCCACGACATTCTAATTTATTGAGATGCACCTGTATATAAAGGTTAGAAATTGATTTTCATTTCAGTGAGTGAAATAAGTATTTGATCCCCAAGCAAAACATGACTTAGTGCTTGGTGCAGAAACCCTTGTTGGCAAGAGTTTAAGACGTTTAAGACGAGGTAAGACGTTTTTTTTGTAGTTGGTCACCAGGTTTCCACACACTTCGGGAGGGATTTTGATCCACTCCTCTTTACTAATCCTCTCTAAATCCTTAAGGTTTCTTGGCTGTTGTTTATCAACTCGAAGTTTCAGCTCCCTCCACAGATTTTCTATATGATTGAGGTCTGGAGACTGGCTAGGCCACTCCATGATCTTAATGTGCTTCTTCTTGAGCCACTCCTTTGTTGCCTTGGCGGTATGTTTTGGGTCATTGTAATCCTTGAAGACTTATCCATGAAGGAGGTTCTTGTCCAAGATTTTACAGTACATGGCCCCATCTATTTGCCCCTCAATGCGGTGAAGTCGTCCTGTACCCTAAGCAGAAAAACAGCCTCAAAGCATTGCTTCTTCTTGAGCCACTCCTTTGTTGCCTTGGCGGTATGTTTTGGGTCATTGTAATCCTTGAAGACTTATCCATGAAGGAGGTTCTTGTCCAAGATTTTACAGTACATGGCCCCATCTATTTGCCCCTCAATGCGGTGAAGTCGTCCTGTACCCTAAGCAGAAAAACAGCCCCAAAGCATAATGTTTCCACCTCCGTGCTTGACTGTAGGGATGGTGTTCTTGGGGTCATAGTCAGCATTTCTCTCCCTCCAAACATGGCGAGTTGAGTTAATGCCAAAGAACTCAATTTTGGTCTCATCTGACAACAGCACTTTCTCCCAGGCCTTCTCTGAATCATTTAGATGTTCTTTGGCAAACTTTAAACGGGCCTGTACATGTACCTTATTGAGCAGGGGGACCTTGCGGGCGCTGCAGGATTTCAGTCCATTGCGGCGTAGTGTGTTACCAATGTTTTGCTTGGTGACTATGGTCCCAACTGCCTTAAAGGGATAGTTCACCCAAAAATGAAAATTCTGTCATTAATTACTCACCCTCATATCGTTCCAAACCTGTAAGACATTTGTTCATCTTCAGAACACAAATTAAGATATTTTTGATGAAAAAAGTGGCTCAACTTCAGTTTTGCGAAGCTACGAGAATACTTTTTGAGCGCAAAGAAAATAAAAATAACAATTTATTCAACAATTCTTCTCCCCCGAGTTACATCTTCCGCCATTTTAGAGAGTATAACAATGCATACGCACGCTTTCCCCCAAGTGTAAACAACGCTGATTACGCAGATTACGTTCATGTGCGCGCTTTCTCTCCCGAACGTAAACAACGCTGATTACGTCGATTATGCTCTTGGGTACTCTTCAAAATGGCAGAAGGCGTAACTCGGGGGAGAAGAATTGTTAAATAAATTGTTATTTTTCTTTTCTTTGCCCTCAAAAAGTATTCTCGTAGCTTCGCAAAACTGAAGTTGAGCCACTGATGACACATGGACTGTTTTTACCGATGTCCTTACAACATTTCTGGAAATGGGAACATTACAGTTGCGTTGTTGTCTATGCAGGGTCTGAGAGCTCTCACATTTCATCAAAAATATCTTAATTTGTGTTCCGAAGATGAACGAAGGTCTTATGGGTTTGGAACGACATGAGGGCGAGTAATTAATGACAGAATTTTCATTTTGGGGTAAACTAATCCTTTGAGATCATTAACAAGCTCCTCCCGTGTAATTCGGGGCTGATCCCTCACCTTTCTCATGATCATCCTTACCCCATGAGGCAAGATCTTGCACACGGCCGATTGATGGTTGTTTTGTATTTCTTCCATTTCCGAATAATCGCACCACCAGTTGTCTTCTTCTTACCAAGCTTCTTGCTGTTGGTCCTGTAGCCCATTCAAGCCTTGTGGAGATCTACAATCTTGTCTCTGACATCCTTTGACAGCTCTTTGGTCTTACCGATGGTGATGGGAGAGGTTGGAATGGAAGATACAGATTGTGTGGACAGGTGTCTTTTATACACCTAATGAGCTGACATTAGGAGTAACTTCTTAAAGTGGCAGGACTAATCCGTGTTCCACATGGGCACATAACCAATCTGTGGGAGCCAGAATTCTTGCAAATCAATCTTTAACCTTTATATAATGTGTTTTTCTGGATTTTTTGGGTTGGTATTCTGTCTCTATCCATTAAAATAAACTTACCATAAAAATTACAGACCCTTCATTTCTTTGTAAGTGGGCAAACTTACAAAATCAGCAAGGGATCAAATAAATATTTTCCCCACTGTAGTTTGACCAATCAGTCTTACTTTAGAGTGTTACTTAGATCAGCCTACATTTTTTCAAAAATTAGACTAACTTGTAAACAGCTGTTTGTTTGCAGTGTTTGCTTCTCTTTTTTCACATTTTTGTGTAAATATAGTTTATTTTATCAAGTTCACCTTATTTTATTCATTTTTAAATTATTTCTAATAAATTAAACATTAGGTAAAATAAATTTTTAATTGCAGAAATTGTTATGCATGCTTTCCAAAATATCGGATCTGCATCAGACATCAAAAAACCTATTATCAATTGACCACCACTCATGAATTAGTCTTATGTTATGTTCCAAAACAAATCCATAAGCAATTGTTTTATGTTATGGTTATGCCTTGCTAATATTATCTTGGTGTAAAAAAAAAATGGAAACATCAGGGGCTAATGTTAATAAGCTCAACTTACGTTGTAATCATCTGAAAAATGGTAACCTTACTAACAAAAATAAAGTAGTCCCAGAACTGTAACCTCAATATCAGCGGTCCAAAACTTGCATACTCTTCTGTTACACACTCAAAAGTATCTACAGCTTAAAACACATTTGGCTACAGCTCATTTCTGAATTGCATCCAGAAAAGTACTCGGAATGATTGCATCTGATGAGCTGACAAACATTCTAAAGGCTGGAATATACTACACAATTTTTGCCCATGCAGCTTAAGAGTCTGGTGAAGCAGATTTTAGTTGCCGAAAGTCAGAGCCAGTCTTCAGATTTGAGTTGACAGATTTCATAGAATATCGCACCGTATATGATGGTCACAGTCTCTGATTTGTTAGCTTCAGACTATGAATACATCCAGTCGGAGGATATCAAACATGTTATATATTTTAGGCTGATTTTAGAACACACATTGTTTTTATTTGTCATGCACCTCCTATCAACAAGGTGCATGTTTTAAATTGGTTCAGATTTTAAAAGTCGTGTATTGTATTCCAGTCTTAAGCTACTAATTATTTTTCTACAATGAAAAAAAAATTGGTCTAAAAATAATTTGTACTTAGTAACACAAAATACAAAAAGGACATGTAAAACATTGAATTAAATGTAAAATTGTGAAGCAGAAAGACTAAAAAAGGCTAAAGTAGCTTAACTGAGGTATTGACCACATTATATTTCTAGAGCATTTTGCTAAATTATTTCAATAATTTCAAAGTGCCTTGCAGCCTTCTGCATACAATGGCTTAATCCTGTGTTACTAGTTCATAAAAGACAGTTTAGAAATCGCAAGGGAGCACTGAGATATAATATGTAATAAACTCATTTAGAAGACCGTTTTAAGGACAAAAACCTGAAAAATGTCTTGAGGTGTGGTAACTGACAATAGGCTGATTAAGAAAGTTACAGAAAAAAATAACAGAAAAAAAAACACCAGCTTTGTGTTGGGGCATTACCACGCATTATTTTTCTATAATTCAATGGCCTGTTATCACTTATTCCTTACTTGATAAAAAATAAATAAACAGATAAAAGAAGACACAGCTGGGTCTAACCTGCTCCTGGCCTTCTCTCAGTAACGTAAGCTCTTGCTCCACTTCGCCCACATGGCTGGTTGCCTTGGCAACCTCAGCTCTCTCCAGGTCACGCTCGGCAAGGAGTTGCTCAATGTGTTGCTGTTTCTCCTTCAGGGCTTCCTGAAGTGCCGTAGTGCCAGAGATCTTCCTCGCATACCTTGTAGACGTCTCTGTCAACTTCAGAGAGAAATTCATTCAGGATCTTTAAAATTACAGATACTGTAATGCCCGTTTCATATAATATATAGTTTTCAGATATGACCTTCGCTCTAAAGCTAGACTTAGTTACAAATTAAGCAGGTGTTCACAACATTTTTAGAACCATTAAAGCTACATTTACACTGGGCTTTGATTCCATACAACTGCAGAAGAACCTTATATGTTTAGATAAACTGAAGGCAGAATGCTGGAAAATTTGACCCTGCTATCAGACCGAACACATTCTGTGCATTTTTATAATTACAGCAGAACAATTAATCAAAAAAACAGAATCGTGAAATGGCTTAGATTACAAATGGTAAAAGGCTGCCATTTAAAGGGCACCTATTATGCAAAATTCACTTTTACATGTTGTTTGAACATAAATGTGTGTTGGCAGTGTCCCCACACAACCACCCTATAATGATAAAAAAATTTTCAAAACTTTTTTTTTTTTATTCCCATTAATCATAAGCAGTGTCTTAGAACAAGTCGTTGGCAGAATACGTCAAATGTGATGTCACATTTTACAAGCCCCACCCACAACTGTTGACGTACACTGCTGTTTTAGCAGAGATCCCGCCCTGAATGAGCCGCACACAATCCGCCATGTTTATCTTCATGCTAGAGCATTTAAAAGCAGCATTCAAGTAAGAAATGTCTTATAAGAGCTACAGAAATGATTCATTCAAGTGATTTCTGTTTATTTTATTGTTTGGGTCATATTAACAGCTTAGACAGCAGTATAGGGACTGTATATTACGCTGTTGTCACTTAATACACAGATCTAATATAAGCAGATATGTTATATATGTTATATTAAGCAGTGCTCAGCCCTAACTAGGTGCTCGGGCCCTAACTAGGGAAGTTAAATGGCAGTTTTGTTAGTCTAAAAGCAAGAAACCCCCAAAAGATGGTTAAGAAAAAAAAACGTTGTGTGTGTGTATATAATAGCCTACATTTGAAATACTTCATCTATGAATCACAAATCCCTCAATGAATTCCGCTAAAAATAGGTCACAATTATGCCGTACGCTTGCCTCGCGTTATCATTTAATTTTAGGCGCTCGTTAAAAAAAATAAAAAAACAAGAGCACACACTCAACGTCAGCCAATGCTTATTTATTAAAATCAGCTAGGGAAATGCAGAACAATGGAAAATCAATCAATAGCCACACAGAATTCTGAATCTTCATATAACGTTATATTAAGGTAAAAATTTAGTTTACGCCCAGATACACTTTTAAAAATAATGTATTATTTTTCAAATGTTTTATTTTAAATGTAACAATGGTAATTTGATGGTAACATAAAATGATGGTAATTTGAATGATAATTATGTGTTATCGACTATTGTTTTCAGTGTCGACTAGTAGGAGCTGTACCGTTTAGTCGACTAGACCCGCACATCCCTAATATAAACATGCAATTTCTTTCCATCGGTTTACCTTCACAGACATAACCAACTGTGTTTTTGTAACTTATGTTTGTTTTTAACAAACTTGTGTGTATTTGACAGTTTAAGCACAATAAGTCATGAAAGAGAGTATTCACATGCCGTGTGACAGCCGTTTTCTGTGTGCATTCTGCGGATGCACTCAAAAAAAACATATATCAGAATTTTAAACTGATATGGATTTTAAACGCATAATTTCAGCGTGATAGACATGATAATCAAAACCAAACAGACGTTTGTTTGTTTTTGGCAGAGTATCTGAGGTATGAGCTGTAAAGGCACAACCCTATTCTGGAAAAGGGAGCAGGCAGAAGCATCTTATTTGCATTTAAAGAGACATGCACGTAAATAGCATGTTTCTGCTTCCACTCAAAATAGGCATTTTCAAAATGATATAACAAGCCTTATTTGGGTAGAAAACAGGCATTTGCCTAGGAAACCCATTTGTAAGTTGGTTTCCCTGAAATGCTGCACACTAAAACAGTGCAGCAGATCAGTGAATTTGTTCATGTTACTCTGCCATCAAAACATTGCCCTATTTGTTTGACACCTGGCTTGTCAACTGGCTCAAATCAATCGCTTGAGTTTGCCAAACACTAACGTTTGCCAAAAAATAGCTGATGGAAAAACACAGTCTGGGAAATGGTTTTGTAGTTGCCTTTTGGTGCTGCTAATATCCCAGAAATTACACATTTTGGCCCAGCTAAGCATGCCAAAGTTATGTAACCAAAGACATGTATGCATATGAGAATGAATGTAACTCACTAGTCCTGTTCGGCTTGGCTTGCAACTAGCAGATGAGGCCACAGAACTCATGGAGCTGATGGAGGAGGCACTGGGGCTGCGTTTTAGTCCTGATGGTGTGGCCGCTGTCTTCCGCACAGTGGTCTTTGCCTTGGCTGGGGTAGTGGAGGGAAAACCTATACGGGTCACCTTGTGCACTGGTGCAAACAGACCGTATTTGGGCTGACACTGGAAATACCTGATGATACACAAATCCATTAATGAAAAACTCTTTTCGTATGTAAAGGGTAAATGTAAGAACAGGCCACAGTACCTGGTTCCAGCCACAGCACCATCGTTCTTTCCCAAGGGCTCATCCAGCTCAACTCCACACCACTCACCCTTGGCAAAATCGGTTTCGCCTAAGAAACGCACTACACCAGCTTTTGTGCCAGCAACCTAAAATATGTGAAGGAAACAAGGACTTAACATGCATTCTGATACACAGGACTCCTAAACAGTGGAATATTTGAAACAGCAGCTTCACTGTAATAGCCTGATAATTCACTGGTACAATGTTTCTCGAGACAGAGTTTAAAGTTTAATACTTAGTTTATTCTGATTGATATTAAGAGGCTCGCCATCACTTATTTTTATTATGAAGCCTGTATTTAGAATGCAATATAAAGGCATTATCAGGTATCATAATGCATACATAACATGTGAAGCAATTAAACACAGGGCTGGACGATATGGACAAAATTTATATCACAATATATTTCTTAATTTCGGTTGATACGATATAATTACGATATCGATATGAACACAATTTTTTTTAAAAGCCTCATAAAAACTGCTAAGAACACCCATAACAGATGTCTGTACCTAAAAACTTGAAGTTTCCAAGTCTATGAAACCTCCTCCTATACAACTATATAATATTTAAGAAAAAAATTAATTAATGTTTACCTTATATCAAACTATAGGCTGACATACACTACCAGTCAAAAGTTTTTGAACAGTAAGATTTTTTATGTTTTTTAAAGAATTCTCTTCTGCTTACCAAGCCTGCACTAATTTGATCCAAAATACAGCAAAAACAGTAACATTTTGATTTTTTTTTACCATTTAAAATAACTGTTTTCTATTTTAAAATATTTTAAAATGTGATTTATTCCTGTGATGCAATACTGAATTTTCAGCATCATTACTTCAGTCTCCATTGTCACATGATCCTTCAGAAATCATTTTAATATTCTGATTTGCTGCTCAAAAACATTTATTATTATTGTTGAAAACAAAAGGGTAGATTTTTTTCAGGTTTATTTGATGAATAGAAGGTTCAGAAGAACAGCATTTTATCTGAAATAGAAATCTTTTGTAACATTATTATCTTTTTTGATAAAAGTAACTAAATAAAAGTATTATAAATAAAATAAAATTGCAGCGCTAAATAAAATTTCTATAATTCCTTTCCCCAAAAAATTAAAATTATACTGACTCCAAGCTTTTGAATGGAATAGTGTACAATGTTATAAAAGCTTTTTATTTCAGATAAATACTGATCTTTGGATCTTTCTATTCATCAAAGAATCCTGAAAAGAAAAAAACAATTCTCAACTGTTTTAAATATTGATAATCAGCTAATCAGTATATTAGAATGATTTCTGAAGATTTAAAATAACTACTTTCAAATAGAAAGCAGTTATTTTAAATAGTAAAAATAATTCAAAATTGTACTGTTTTTGCTGTACTTTGGATCAAATAAATGCAGCCTTGGTGAGCAGAAGAGAATTCTTAAAAAAATACATTAAAAATCTTACTGTTAAAAAAAACCTTTTGACAGGTAGTGTAGGCTGATTATTCTTATAGATTGAAACAAATGTGCTTCAGCCAGGATAAAGAATATGAAAAGTGCTCTGAGTTGCTGCAGAAAACAAAAATTGAGCAACAACAAAAACATGTTGCTGGAGACGGGCTTATTATTGAAAATGCAAATTCATTCTCTGCCAGCAGGAGGCGCTTTTAGAGTGATAAAACTAGCGGTTTCTCCAGTAATGACTGTTATCAAAGCAGCTCCGCTCATGAACACTACTTTATCAGATAAAAATTAATATGTCATAGAAACTTTTCTGAAGACAGTCGGTTTCCTTCAGAGATACATTCATATAAAACACCCGCGCCATGTTATGATTTTGAAACGTGCAGTGCTCAACGAAAATCAAAGGCCACAAATAAATCAATGTATGGGAAACACTGGTAATGTATATCGAAATATCGGTAATGTGTTTAAAAATATCACCGCTTTTGAAAAAAAATTATATCGCGATACATATTGATATTGAATTATTGTCCAGTCCTAAGTAAACATAAAATATATTTTATTTTGATTGTTTTTATTTTACAATTATATTATACAGCTGCACAACTTTGCCAAAAATATATATTGTGATAATTTTATCATATACTGCAATTTGAACTCTCACATTCCATTTCATATGAGGCTTCTCATATTGCGACTGCTGAGAAATTGAGACAAAGGAGCAACAGATCCTGCTGCTAAGTGAAATAGTTACTTCAGAGTATTCACACTTCACAAGAACCAGCTAACACTACACGTTACAATACAAACATTTATCTTGAATGCTTCAGTTTCAAATATTCAAACCGTCTAGGTTTTAGCATGCCAAATCCTTAAAGGGGTCATATGATGCTGCTAAAAAGAACATTATTTTGTGTATTTGGTGTAATGAAATGTGTTTATGCGGTTTAAGGTTAAATAAACACATTATTTTCCACATACTGTACATTATTGTTTCTTCTCTATGCCCCACCTTTCTGAAACACGTCGATGTTTACAAAGCTCATCGGTCTGAAAAGCGAGGTGTGCTCTGATTGGCCAGCTATCCAGCGTGTTTTGATTGGCCGAATACCTCAAGTGTGTGACGGAAATGTTACGCCTGTTAACATACTGTGATGCCGTGTAGCAACGAGACAAAAACATTAAAACCCATTAAATACGAGGCATTTGTTGCATCTAGTGGGGACATAATTACAGACTATAATGACTTATACTGTCTTTTTACGCGTTGCGTTACATCACACAGCATAAACATAAAGCCATGTCTGCATTTGTGATCCAAAGAGAAAGGAAAAATTGAAATCGCATCATATGACCCCCTTTAAGCTTTTACACTACCGATCAAAGATTTTTAAACGATTTTTAAAAAGACATTTCTTATGTTTCAGTGTCACATGATCCTTTAGAAAACTTTCTAATACGCAGATTTGGTATCAATATTGAAAACAACTGCATGCCTAATATTTTTGGAAAACATACCTTTTCAGGATTCTTTGATGAAAAGAACGTTCAAAAGAACCATATTCATTTGAAATAAAAATTTTTTAAATGAAACATTTCTTTAATGTCACTTTAGAATAATTTAGTGTCATTCTAATATTCTGATTTGCTGCTCAAAAAACATTTATTATTATGATGTTGAAAACAGCGGAGTAGATTTTTTTCAGGTTTATTTGATGAATAGAAGGTTCAGAAGAACAGCATTTTATCTGAAATAGAAATCTTTTGTAACATTATTATCTTTTTTGATAAAAGTAACTAAATAAAAGTATTATAAATAAAATAAAATTGCAGCGCTAAATAAAATTTCTATAATTCCTTTCCCCAAAAAATTAAAATTATACTGACTCCAAGCTTTTGAATGGAATAGTGTACAATGTTATAAAAGCTTTTTATTTCAGATAAATACTGATCTTTGGATCTTTCTATTCATCAAAGAATCCTGAAAAGAAAAAAACAATTCTCAACTGTTTTAAATATTGATAATCAGCTAATCAGTATATTAGAATGATTTCTGAAGATTTAAAATAACTACTTTCAAATAGAAAGCAGTTATTTTAAATAGTAAAAATAATTCAAAATTGTACTGTTTTTGCTGTACTTTGGATCAAATAAATGCAGCCTTGGTGAGCAGAAGAGAATTCTTAAAAAAATACATTAAAAATCTTACTGTTAAAAAAAACCTTTTGACAGGTAGTGTAGGCTGATTATTCTTATAGATTGAAACAAATGTGCTTCAGCCAGGATAAAGAATATGAAAAGTGCTCTGAGTTGCTGCAGAAAACAAAAATTGAGCAACAACAAAAACATGTTGCTGGAGACGGGCTTATTATTGAAAATGCAAATTCATTCTCTGCCAGCAGGAGGCGCTTTTAGAGTGATAAAACTAGCGGTTTCTCCAGTAATGACTGTTATCAAAGCAGCTCCGCTCATGAACACTACTTTATCAGATAAAAATTAATATGTCATAGAAACTTTTCTGAAGACAGTCGGTTTCCTTCAGAGATACATTCATATAAAACACCCGCGCCATGTTATGATTTTGAAACGTGCAGTGCTCAACGAAAATCAAAGGCCACAAATAAATCAATGTATGGGAAACACTGGTAATGTATATCGAAATATCGGTAATGTGTTTAAAAATATCACCGCTTTTGAAAAAAAATTATATCGCGATACATATTGATATTGAATTATTGTCCAGTCCTAAGTAAACATAAAATATATTTTATTTTGATTGTTTTTATTTTACAATTATATTATACAGCTGCACAACTTTGCCAAAAATATATATTGTGATAATTTTATCATATACTGCAATTTGAACTCTCACATTCCATTTCATATGAGGCTTCTCATATTGCGACTGCTGAGAAATTGAGACAAAGGAGCAACAGATCCTGCTGCTAAGTGAAATAGTTACTTCAGAGTATTCACACTTCACAAGAACCAGCTAACACTACACGTTACAATACAAACATTTATCTTGAATGCTTCAGTTTCAAATATTCAAACCGTCTAGGTTTTAGCATGCCAAATCCTTAAAGGGGTCATATGATGCTGCTAAAAAGAACATTATTTTGTGTATTTGGTGTAATGAAATGTGTTTATGCGGTTTAAGGTTAAATAAACACATTATTTTCCACATACTGTACATTATTGTTTCTTCTCTATGCCCCACCTTTCTGAAACACGTCGATGTTTACAAAGCTCATCGGTCTGAAAAGCGAGGTGTGCTCTGATTGGCCAGCTATCCAGCGTGTTTTGATTGGCCGAATACCTCAAGTGTGTGACGGAAATGTTACGCCTGTTAACATACTGTCATGCCGTGTAGCAACGAGACAAAAACATTAAAACCCATTAAATACGAGGCATTTGTTGCATCTAGTGGGGACATAATTACAGACTATAATGACTTATACTGTCTTTTTACGCGTTGCGTTACATCACACAGCATAAACATAAAGCCATGTCTGCATTTGTGATCCAAAGAGAAAGGAAAAATTGAAATCGCATCATATGACCCCCTTTAAGCTTTTACACTACCGATCAAAGATTTTTAAACGATTTTTAAAAAGACATTTCTTATGTTTCAGTGTCACATGATCCTTTAGAAAACTTTCTAATACGCAGATTTGGTATCAATATTGAAAACAACTGCATGCCTAATATTTTTGGAAAACATACCTTTTCAGGATTCTTTGATGAAAAGAACGTTCAAAAGAACCATATTCATTTGAAATAAAAATTTTTTAAATGAAACATTTCTTTAATGTCACTTTAGAATAATTTAGTGTGTCCTTGTTGAATAAAGGTATTAATTTATCTTACTTTTTAACTTATATTTTTAACTTCAGATTGCATGATTCGGAAGGATCATGTGAAACTGAAGACTGGAGTAAGGAAGCTGAAAATTCAGCTTTGCATCACATGAATAAATTACATTTTAAAATTATATAAAATTAAGAAAACAGTTCTTGTGTTGTAATATTTCACATTATTATTGCTTTGCATTTATTGATAAATAAATGGATCCTTGGTGTGCATAAAATATGTTTTAAAACACATTACTTGTCTAAAGATTGGAATCATTAAAAGCTTGAGGAAACAAATTCAAGATAAATATTTGTACTGTAGCTTGCAATGTTATATAACTGTGTAGATTATTCAGATGATACAACAACATTTTTAATGGAATTATAAATGCATTATAATGCCTAAAAAATGTCCTTATAATGCATTATAAATACTGTACAGGCTTCATAGAAATGGACTGCAATCTCTCAATTAATCATAAAACATGCATAAATAATGAGTATAAAGGAACTTGTAAAATGCTGTTTAAAAAAAATGCCGTAAATCACTGGTTCTCAATTCCAATCCTGGGATCCCCCTCTACTCAGCACATTTTGTATATCTCCCTTATTTAACACCTGATTCAGATCATCAGTTTTAAGAAGAGAGAGATCCATGAACTGAACTGAGCGTGTCAGATAAGAGAGGCATACAAAATGTGCAGAGCAGGATTGGAACTGAATCTGGAATCTTAAATATTTGAATTATCCTAACCTGACACACAATAATGCTCATCACTATACCATCACAACACTCTCACCAGCACTCGATCGTTGATCTTTAGCTCCCGATCACCTTTCTTGACCGATCCAGTCTCTGACAGATTGGACACTGACTCGCTCTTTGACCGCACCAGGTCTGAGGCTGGTGTAGCAGCTTTAGTGGGTGAAGCTGGTTTCTTGGTTGAAGCAGACACTGATGTAGTAGAGGGTGTGGGTGATGCAGCACGGGACGGAGGAGCCGTCGTTGTGCTGTCCTCCTCACCTTCTGTGCGTGAAAGCTTGGACGGCCGTGTGAAAATACCCTTCAACGGTTCACACTGAAAATAGCGCACACCTGACACAGAACCATCGTTTTTCCCAATTGGCTCATCAAGTACAATTCCAGCCCACTGGCCCGGGGCAAACTGGGTCTCTCCTAAAAACTGAATGACACCTGGCTTGTTGCCGTTAACCCAGACACGATCCTCGATCTTGAACTGCTCTCCTGCATCTTGGGCTTCAGCTGAGGATTTGTCACCTTGTGTTGGTTTAGAAGCACCAGTTCCAAAGGAAGGAAAGAAATAGGCTTTGTTCAAAATTCCAACTACCACAATGCACTTACTGATTCTGTACTTGATATACAAACTGTCATTATGTCATTATTAATTAATAATCAAATTTAAAAACTTTTATTTTTGACCCTGCAATGGGTCACTGCAAGTCTGGTTTTCCTAACAAGTCATTTAAACACATTAAACAGCCATATGACTACAGAAATAATTTTTTACAATAACTTTTAGATTTGAAATTACAAAAATAAGGTAGTAAAGTGAACCTTAAAGGGTTAGTTCACCCAAAAATTAGACAGTTTCTTGCTTCTATGGAACATAAGATATTTTGATGAATATTGGTAACCAAACAGTTGCTGGTTCCCATTGATTTTAACAGTACAGAAAATGCTAAAAACAAATAGATTAAATTAAATTAAATAAAACCATTTTTGACAGAGCTACTTCAGAAACAATATTATTAATGATATATTTATATACGGTAAAAAGAGATGGCTCTTACCTACAGAAGGAGACGTCTTTGTGACCCCAGCATTGGCTTGTCTGCCAATTTTGCTGGGTGCTTTGAGTCCACTGGGTTTTGATGTGCTCATTGTTGCTCTGAAATGGTCCGTCTATACTTGCACGTTTCCTCTCCAACAAACATTGACTGTTGAGTTTGGAGCAACAGTGTAGGAAAAAGCAAAAAAATAAAAAATATATAAAAAATTTATTTCAATTTTTTAAAAAAAATTTGAGGGAGAAAGGGGTGCAGCAGTGTCTGTGCAGAGAAAGAAAATAGAAATATATGAGCGTATATGATATAGCATGCATGATATATGCAAGGATGTGTCTTGCTTTCTGCCGTTTCAGTAATTTCATGCAACACAACAAACACATTGTTTCATTGGTATGTTGGTGGAGTTGAGTGTAGTGTAAAACCCATTTCACACTGCACACAAGCAATATGTAAAAGCAAGCTTCCGATGTGCTGACAGTGTTTTCTACTGCGCAACAAAGCTATCTCTATACAGAAAGTAAGTCCTACACTCAAGTATTTATATTAAAGGCAAAATATGTAAGATTTTTTTATTAAAATATCCAAAAACCACTAGAACAGTGTTATATATTTTGCTGACTTGTGTACTTACATTATCCCAAATGTTTCGAAGAATGTTTAAATCCAGAGAAACAAGCAATTTTAACTGATGACACGGAGCGTGTCTATAGTGTCATTGTGTCGCCTGCCAATGACGTCATAACCCCTCGATTTCCGGTTTTGTTTTGTAGAAAACATGTAAATACCAAAACACGCTTTAATATGTTGTGCGTTTTAATAGACTGGTGACGACCGCACAGAGTAGCATAGTAACAGAACTTTCAAATGTATCTAGTATGATAAAATAGTGCTGCTTTTTCCCCCCCCACATACTCACAACCTGAAGGAGCGGAAGCGGTTGACTGTGGCATAATAAAAGCTCCGCTGCTTTCGAGCCGTGTGTCGTGCTCGTTCAGCGGCCTCATTTCGCTTCGACAGCTTTCAGCCTCACCCTGCTTCATTCTACTACATTAATAAATCATTAGCTCATCAATTAACATGATTTCTGTCCGAGTCCCGTCGGATTGCATCGGCTGTGGGGATGAAGACCACAACTCCCATGATTCCACACTCAGTCACACGTCATCAAACTACGCATTTGTCTATTTGTTTATTTTGAATATGCACCCTCTAGCGTCGAAAATTACATATTGTGCCTTTAAGTACAGGCTTTTATATATAAAACGGCTATCAAGAATTAGCCATTAAAAAGTAGTTAGTGAGCTTGTGCTGAAGTAAAGTGAGTGACACTTCAGACAAATTGAAAAAGAATTGTTTACAAGGCACTGGGATCAAGACTTGATTCCATCAAAGGAAATCGACTCCTTTTTTTTACAGCCTTTTTTATTTTGTCACTTGTTCTTTCAGACAGTTCATTTCAATAAACAATTGCAGCCCTTCCTTTGCACTGATTGTTGTATAATGATGTCATTGCATATGTGTTTCTAACAATTTGATGTCACTATATCTGTCACACTGAAATATTCACATTAAGCCATGTGCAAATGCATATGGCTGACTTAATGAGTTAATGAGGTTTGTCACTGTTTCATTCTGTGATCCCACATGTCAAATAACATATGACTGACAAATATTCATTAGCCGCATTTAAATGTGGGAGTGAATTCACAAAATAATTATTTTGAGAGTCATTCTTGAAATTGCATAGTTGAAAACAGTTTGACCCTTACTGTAGAATTTGCTGTATTCCACTTCAAACTGTAACACACCAATGTAATAATTATCTTTTGTGGTTGCCTTTCGCAAGCATTTATGACAATAAGTGAAAAGTCAGTTGAAACAAACCAGTTGGAACAAACAACCTGTAAAAAGTCAAATCGCAATTTAAAAATGTAAATGTGTAAACAACTGTGAATGAAAATCTTATTTTCTACACAAAATATATTTTTAAAAATACTGTTTTTCTTTCATCAGACTCAAAATGGATGACAATAATGGTCACGTAACCTCTACTAAACCGCTATGAGATGGACTGACCCATAAACTAAGTACTTCAAATGCCATATCTTTACTTACGGCAGATTATCATGGTTTAGATGAGTGCAAAAAATAACATAACATGGTGCAAAGATTCTGTAATAATCCCCACAGAGTGAAATGACATGATAACTTGGCTACACATACTCCTGGTCACACATGCTGCACATGTGATTGAGATCATCTGAAATGAGAAAAGCTGCAAGTACTTAGAGACTAATTCTCTGGTGAACGCAAATATACCTAAACTTATCCCAGAAATTTCACTGATGAAAAAAATAATAATTTTATTTTTCCCAACTACTGGTCAGTAATCTATCGGCCACAGATATATTGTATCATGATACATCATGCATCCCTACTTTGTGTGATTACAAAAGTCACTTGTGATTGCTGAAAAATATTTGATTGCAAAAATATTTCATGTGCTGCTATACAGTTTGAATTGCTTACAATAAAAACAACAACAAAAACTAAAAAATTAAGACAAATATCAGTAATGTAATTATGTAATTTTACTAATCTACTAGATTGAATTATTAGATTTTTTTATAATAAAAACATCTAATTTTAATAATAATAGCAATTATTAGAATTAAAACAATAATACAAAAACAATAAAAACTGACTGAATTCCTGTAAACAACACTGCAATAACAGAGTCTAAGTAGAAAGCAGGGTTCGACAATAAGGACTGCCCGATGGCCCGGGGCCAGCAAGAAAGACGTTCAGGACAGTAGACGGATTTGTCACTTGCCCGATCGGGCCACTGCAGCGTTGTCACAACATTCTATCATTTGCATGTGTTTTTAAGACTTGTTAATTTCAAAATTCAAGCGATTAAAAAGCATTTGGGTGCGAAAGACTACTCCGTTCAGTACTTGTGCGATGTGTTTTGTGAGAACAGCGAGCGCACTAGGGATGGGTGATATCTTATCGTTTGCAATATACCGGTAAAAATCAATCGACTGGTAGATCTTTATCACTGTCCCAGTAGATCCTGAAAAAAACTGTAAAATAAGTACAAAAATGCATTACATTTATGGGGTTATATTAATGTATCACTGAAGGGTATTGTCTTGAGAAAAGTTTCGATGGCAATGGCATTTTCTTCACCGTATAAAGTGCAGCTCTGCTTTGTTTACAGCAGTAAACAAGGAAACGCTATAGTGGGGTCGGTTCATAAGCAGTGTTGCCAAGTCTGCGGTCTTCCCGCGGAATTGGAGAAGGGTATAACTGCAGCCTGGAGATCTCCAAATGGGGGCGGGAACTCCAAAACTGGGTGGGAGCTCCAAAATAGGGCGTGGCTTCCTCCCATTGACAGACAGGCACATGACACGCATGCACAATTTTTTCCCCCAATCCGCTTCAGTGCAAACTCCGCCCCACAGCTGATTCTAAAGATGTTATTGGTTGTGTCAATTAAAGGGGTCATATGATGCGATTTCAATTTTTCCTTTCCCTTTAGAGTGTTACAAGCTCTTGGTGCATAAAGAAGATCTGTAAAGTTGCAAAGACTAAAGTCTCAAATCCAAAGAGATATTCGTTATAAAAGTTCAGAGCCGGACAATGGCACCTTTTTAGTTACACCCAGCGTCACTACCCCCTCCTACCCTGTGAATTTCGAGCCCCGGGATGCCCCCGTTGCTTAGAACAAAGCGATAGAGTTAAATCGTTGCGCTGCGACGGTTCAAACACCACTGGCCACAAGCTTTGGGCTCTGCTCTCACGAAGAATATTTACTTATATAGCATATTTTATTTTAGATGAACTAGAAACAATGTTTAATTTATACAAATTTATTTTGAAATGTAAGTCAATAACAATTGGCTGGAGCCAGAGCCAATGGTGAAAGTCTTTGCTCGAGGAGACCCCGCCCCATTTTGGAGGTTCTGCCCACTTTTGGAGTTCACGCCCCATTTTGGAGATCTCCGGTCTGCAGTTATACCTACTTGGGGAATTGGGCTACTTAACACTGTTGCCGCGGGTTGTTGTTCATGTCCGCAGGTTGAAGCGACCCCAATAACGTGATATTTAGCCCGTGGAATGCAAATTTTACTGGAAGATCCCCACCGAAAAATGTGTATTTTACCCCTGGAATGCGATTTTTACAGGGGAACCCTCCTCGAAACGCGATTGGACTAGTTTTATTGCGAAAACCTGGCAACCCTGTTCATAGGCGCCACCTGCTGTCAGAGAATCCGTCTCATTCAGACCTGCTGTTTTTGTTTCGTGCAGATGTTTTATGTAGCAAATAAATAAATAACACCTAAAGTCAGAGCATACTGTTTTTTTTTTAAATCCTGAAATTAATCTAAATCAAATCAAAAACAACTGCCCGTGCAGATCATGATTAAAATGCAGTGGTTGCCTCTCATTTCAAATGGCTAGATATTTTTGTTTAAAGCCAGTTTGTTTGTTATAAAGCAAATAGCCAATAAATAAATTTGCTTAAAAATCAGTATCAGTATCCAATTTGCTAGTTAAAAAAAAAAAAAAAAAGAAAGAAAAGAAAATCTGAATTCTGAATCAGCTATGATCGGCGCATCACT